AGCTGGGACCTTGGAACGTAACCTGCAGTAGACCAAATCAAGCAAAATACCTATATGGAGTAGTATCCCCAGTTGATGTGGAAGCCAGTGTGGAAACACTAAGAGAATGCATCAAGATTGATGGAACTGCATCAATCGTTAAAATAGAGAGACTTCAAAAGCAGGAAAACCAAACCCGCATCCCATCAACATCACTTCGCCTTATCTTCTCTGCCATCTCACATCAAGTTTGGGCCAATTCGCTACATGGTTAGACCTTTTGTGTTCCCTCCTCTGCAGTGCTTCCGCTGCCAGAGGCTGAGACATACAGCGCAGGGATGCAGAAGCCCAGTGCGGTGCCTCATCTGTGCTGGACCTCACCATGTGAGCCTTTGTAAAAGCACTGTATTTAAATGTGCCAACTGTGGTCAGGCCCACAAGGCTAACTCGCGTGACTGCCCCCGAATGCCTGCCCGAGCTGGAGAGCCTTCTAATGGGGCTTCTTTAATGCAGCCAATTCATGGATCAAGACCAACTCATAACAAGACGGATCCTCTTACTTGGAACCACCCCGCTCAACAACAGTCAACTGCTGGCTCAAGCCATGGGACTCGTACATGGAGCTCTGTTGTGAACAGCCCAAATCCAGGAATTCACAGAGGACTTACAGCAGCTGAAATCCACCATGAGCTGAACTGCTGAAGAGCCCATGCTAATGTGCATCACCTGTTGCTAACCTTGCTGGCACTCCTCTAGAAAGCACTCATCCTAAGATTGCATCATTCTGAAATGGGATCTATAGTGGAAGACTTGGCTGGACAGGCAGCGTGTGTGCTATCCCAAGATGCCGTGCAAAAGCTAGGGAAGGTACTGTTTGATCTCTTCTCCCTAGATCTGAGGGCTGAATCAAATAACAAATGTAGGTCACTGATCACTGCTGCTATATCCAAACATTTCAAAGTCCCATCTGAACAGTTGGAACAGACAAATCCCAAAACCCCTGTTTCTAGGCCTAAGATATTTGTGCCAGGTCCTCCAGTGCCTCCAGCTTCTCCCTGTGCCTCAGGAGTGTGCTCTGACAATGATCTGGCTACTGTTTCTGGTGAACAAGATCTTGAACCTGCAAGCTCCTGTGACTCTTCTGATGTGGAACTCCCAAATTTACAGTGCTCTGAGAGTGGTGGTTTGAAGGTTCCCTCCAAACGGGAGGTTGGGAAGAGAGCTGTTGGACGTCACAAAGTTCCACCTAACCAGGGTTGGCAATGATTAAATCAAAATGATTAAATCATGTGATTAAATCACTTGATTTTTTTATAAAAAAATCATGATTTTTTTAGCTACTGATGGAAGGGGCCATCATCTTGCTTCCATTCGATCAGGGTTGTCTCCAGTCCCATGGGTAGCATGTCATTCTCGCCGTATTACAGTGGTCTTAAATCGCCTTCGTCTAGGACATGTTGGGGTTCGATCTTACCTCCATCAATTTGGGATGACTGACACTCCCATGTGCCTGCATTGTGGGCTAGAAGAAACAATTGAACACTTCCTCCTGACATGTGCTCTATACAACCGTGAGAGACGGGTGATGGTATCAAGCATGAATGCCCTGGGAGTTCCTCAAATGTCCCTGCGCGTGCTTCTTGGTGGAGGCAATTTTCCTAGAAGAGTTCAGCACTCCATTTTGCGAGCAACTGCTACTTATCTTGCCCAAACTGGCCGCCTAGCTACCTTATAGCTACTGAAGAGCACTGGATCTATCACCGATTTGCCTCACATCACAACACATCATGAGAGACTGCTGACAACGTGGAGAGTAAGCATCAGCAGACAGAAGAGTGCAACTGAAAATGAGAAGATGAAGTCTTAATTTAATTTAATAATCATTGCTGAGTCCAGGTGTTACAAGTGGTCTGCGCTGGACTTCTTCGTCACCTACAACCTGTCATCATCATCATCGAAGTTGCAGCGCAGTTTTTTTAGTTTATAGCCGTGGCCCCTGGTTTTTGTTCTTGTTTCAAATTCTAGTAATCCTTCGGGGACCTTGTATAAACCATGAGTATACTTGTATACTTCAATGAGGTACCCACAACACTTCTGGGACCTTGTATAAACCATGAGTATACTTGTATACTTCAATGAGGTCCCCACGCAGACGTCGATAACTGAGGCTTGGAAGATTCATAATCTGTAATCTTTCTTCATATGACTTGCCCTTCAAGCCTGGAATTATCCTTGTTGCACGTCTTTGACCATTCTCTATTAAATTTTTGTCCTTCTCAAATCTCGGTGACCACACAACGTTTCCAAAGACAGTCAGAGTTGCAACAGTCAGAGAAAAAAAAAATATGTGTAAGTAGCTAAAAAAAATGCTTGGGCTGTCAAACTCCATAATCCATATAATTTTGAACCAAAAAGGCATGAAAATATTATTTTAGTGAGTAATCATAAAACTCTTGGACATGAATATCAACATTTACATGTAAATTAAAACGCAACAGGAAAACAAATTAGCTGCTGGCGCAGTGGCGCAGGAACGCTGTTTCTCATGGGAGAGTTGTGGACAAAGGTTTTGAATAACCCAAGCAAGAAGATCAATTTCATCTGTACTAATACTAAATCGTGTTAAATGTCAACAATACGCGAAAGAAAAACCAACCCAAAGATGATGCATCTTCCGTAACAATTACAAAAATCAGAAGGTGAAAAGTGTTTTGTATAACTGGACGTGACTTTTGGAGTGTTGGACCGGACAACATCAAACCAACGATGGATGAGAGGGAGCATTTGGTTTCAACTAGCCTAAGTCAAAGAAGCTCACCTTGGATGGATCTCTTGAAGCATATGGCCTCTCCAAACTGGGGTGCATCTAGATGTTTCCTGAGGCTCTTCTACTGCTCTTATATCCGTGCAAAGATAGATTATGGTTCAATTCTCTATCAAACAGCTTCACGGACACTTTTGAGCAAACTAGAAGTATTGCAAAATGCCTGCCTTCGCCTGATTTTAGGGGCCCGAAGAACTACTCCTGTTGTTTCCTTACAGGCGGAGGCTCATATCCCTGCCCTGTCATCTCGTCATTGCACACTGGGTGCTCAGCTGGCTCTGAGGCAGATGTATAAACCAGCTAGCGATCAACTTGCAGTATTGATGGTGCAGCCCCGGGCAGCAAGAGAGATCTCATCAATTGACATAGCTGCCAATCAACTGCGTTCCATGATGCCTTCTTGCCGTCGTGTACCCATATCAGTAGTTGACCCCATCCCTCCGTGGGTGGATATTGGCAGGTACATCCATGAGAACTTGGACCTTGCACTGGGTGTGGACCCTTCAACTGTATTTGGTGCAACACTGGGCAGCACCTTTGCAGACTTCCTTGCACTCTACTGTGATGGTTCATGCCTTTCTGCCCCAAAGTCTTCTGCCTGTGGAGTATATATTCCATCACAGAAAAGAGCTTTTTCTTGGCGCCTTCACCCCAATTGCAGTGTCCTAACGACAGAGCTGATAGCCCTGTATCATTCACTTGTCATCATTCAGCAGTCTAACCACCCAAACTGGGTCATCTGTACTGACTCTCGATCGGCGCTGCTCCTTCTACGCTCACCTCGCAGCAGGTACTACAAAGTGCTCCTTACTGGTCCAGCAAATCCATAGACTCATTTGGACCCTCAACCTTGAAAGGCAAGTAGTTCTACAATGGGTAAAAGCCCATGCTGGGATACACGGAAATGAGCTGGCGGACCAAGCAGCCAAATTGGGACATCAACTCGATCACAGCACATATCATGCTGTTGAGTATTCTGATGCTCTCCGCTGCCTCCGCCACCAGGCATTGTCTCAGTGGGAAAGAGACTGGTTACAGAATGTTAATGAGACTGGAAAAGGAAGACGACTTCTGCTGGTCCGCAGAAGCCTGCAGCCGGCACCATGGATACATGCAAGATCTCGTAGAGCATCTATCGTGTTAGCCCGTCTTCGAGTTGGACATGCTGGGGTAAATGCCTACTTGCACCGCTTTTCAATGATAGACTCTCCTCTGCGCAACACTTGCAATGTTGATGAAACCATTGACCACTTTCTACTTGAATGCGCCCAATATAACAATGCTCGCCAACTCATGAGAAGGACTTTGCAAAATATTGGCATACAGACCTTGACGGTGCAAATCTTGCTGGGAGGGAGTGACCTCACAAAACAGGAGCAACACCTTGTGATCAAGGCCGTAATCACCTTTCTCACAAGTACCGGCCGGATGGGGACATTGTGAAGCTAAAGCCCTGCCAACTTAACTGCTCTTGAAATCAAAGAAACCAGTGACGACTAAGCAAACTTGAAAAGAAGCGTTGAAATTGCCGTGTCCAGGTGTACAACTGACCTGTTTGGGGTCCTTTACGACACCTGAAAAAAGACATCATCATCATCATTAACGTACTAGATTATGAGTTGTTGATGTCCGGTAGTTGAGGCCTCTTAATAAAATGCAAAATGTTAGTCCTAAACTCATCATCATCACAAGATGTGCCCGATGTAATGGTGTTGACACTTGCAGCTTGAACAATGCCCTGCCAGAGGCACGAGGAACAAATGTTGCCCTCATCGATGCGTTAAAAACAGAAATTTACTAGTTAGTTATAACCTTCATCATAGGTACATGATGTGTGTGTTTTTCTTCTTAAGCTATAAATATTTGTTAAAAAACATATCCCACGTTGCATAATTTAATAGCCGTTCGTCGCACTTTTATATTAGACCTTGCAAATGTTGCGCAGTTGTCGCCGTGATGTAAGTGGGTTGTGGGTGTGATGCAAGTGAGTTGTGGGTGTGATGCAAGTGAGTTGTGGATGTGATGCAAGTGGGTTGTGGGTGTGATGCAAGTGAGTTGTGGGTGTGATGCAAGTGGGTTGTGGGTGTGATGCAAGTGAGTTGTGGGTGTGATGCAAGTGAGTTGTGGGTGTGATGCAAGTGGGTTGTGGGTGTGATGCAAGTGGGTTGTAGGTGTGATGCAAGTAAACCAGTGACGACTAAGCAAACTTGAAAAGAAGCGTTGAAATTGCCGTGTCCAGGTGTGACAACTGACCTGTTTGGGGTCCTTTACGACGCCTGAAAAAAGACATCATCATCATCAAATTATTTGGAAATATAATTTGTTCAGTAAAAATGGAATTCTTGGGAGGATTTGTCAATATATGTTGTAGGATCGATTAAGGAGTTTAGTTTCTCTAACGGAAATTTGAATTTCTCACAAATCAGGTGAGTATATATGGATTTAATTTAATGTTGTAAAAGCTTATGATAATTTTATAATTTCTTAGTAGAATCATTTTATTTTAGCATTTGTAGATCCAAACTCTAGTAAGTCTAGTTTCCATGTTTTGAAAATCACTATTTTTCAAGCAGTGAAAAAATTGATCCGGGGCAGAGAGCAGATTGGGTCTCATGGTTCTACATTTTTTGAATTGGAACTCACTTGCCAGCAATTAGGTAGCTAGTATTAAGGGGAGCGTCTGTACTCTGTAGGAAAATTTATCTCAGTTATTTACAATTTACAAATGGATCACTTTCAAATTTGGTACAGGTATGTAAAACCCAATATTGGCATTTTTGTCCATGTCAATTTTTTTTAAATGAAAGAAAATGTGACATTCTTAGAAATTGACCAAAAAAGTGGGTAGGGTAAACGCGATATATTCTGACATCGTAGGTAATTCCGTCACTTCTCTAGTTTTCCCTTTATATTAAGCTTTGTTTTAGTTCCATGTGTTCGTTTTGGTTGAAATGGTGACGTCATACATTAGCGTGTCAAAATACTGCAAAAACACTAGGTCTTGGCCATCTAGTGGGAAAATATTGAGATCCAAAGAGAGACAATGCATGCCACCTGGTGAGATCATCGAAAAATGTGTCAAATTTGACAGTTGACCTTGCTCTACCAAATAGTGAATAACTGTTTTTATAGGAAGAATATTATGGTTTGAGACTTTTAAATATGTCTGTGAATATATTAGGAACCCTTTAAGTAAACTTGTATTCGCTGATTTCAAGTCGTAAATAAATTAATAGATGATTAAGTTGAGTGATGGATTTAGACCCATCAAAACTAATTCCGACACAACTTGAATTGGACACACACAGATCGTTCCAAGCTTTGTACAAAAATTGAAATTTGCTTAATTAAAAGCCTAATAGCTGTTAATTAAAACGTAATTAAGTAGTGTTCAATATTCGTTAGTGTTCTAATTCAAAGCCGTGTTGTATCCCAATACAGCTCACTGAGCTCACACAGTGAACGGAATTCAAATACGTTGATGTCGGCATTATGTATCAGTTAAATTTGAAGCGCTGACGCAATACGACTCACCACGTGTCGAATATTGCCACACACAGTGACGGAATATAGGGATTTGGTAGGTTTCCATTCTAAAGGCTTTTTAATAGATATGGCAACATTTTGTGACGTTTCATCATTGCTGACGCGTAGTGAAGTGTTTTGAGAATCACGTGAAGGCAACAGAACTTACGTAACGCATATGTTTTTTTTTATAGTTTTTCATTTCTTGATGCGTCCTTAATGTGTCGGAATATAGGTACCGCGTTTACCCTACTGTAGTAGTCATAGAAATCTAGGGTAAACGCGGTAGGGTAAACGCGGTATATTCCGACACATTAAGGACGCATCGAGAAATGAAAAACTATAAAAAAAACGTATGCGTTACGTAAGTTCTATTGCCTTCACGTGACTCTCAATTCTCAAAACACTTCACTACGCGTCAGCAACGATGAAACGTCACAAAATGTTGCCATATTTATTAAAAAGCCTTTAGAATGGAAACCTACCAAATCCCTATATTCCGTCACTTTGTGTGGCAACATCCGACACGTGGTGAGTCGTATTGCGTCAGCGCTTCAAATTTAACTGATACGTATTGCCGACATCCACGTGTTCGAATTCCGTTTGCTGTGTGAGCTGTATTGGGATACAACACGGCTTTGAATTAGAACACTAACGAATATTGAACACTACTTAATTACGTTTTAATTAACAGCTATTAGGCTTTTAATTAAGCAAATTTCAATTTTTGTACAAAGCTTTGAACGATCTGTGTGTGTCCAATTCAAGTTGTGTCGGAATTAGTTTTCATGTGTCGAAATCCAACATCTCAACTTAATCATCTATTAATTTATTTACGACTTGAAATCAGCGAATACAAGTATACTTAAAGGATTCCTAATATATTCACAGACGTATTTAAGTCTCAAACCATAATATTCTTCCTATAAAAACAGTTATTCACTATTTGGTAGAGCAAGGTCAACTGTCAAATTTGACACATTTTTCGATGATCTCACCAGGTGGCATGCATTGTCTCTCATTGGATCTCAATATTTTCCCACTAGATGGCCAAGACCATGTGTTTTGGCAGTATTTTGACGCGTAAATGTATGACGTCACCATTTCAACCATCAACAAACGCATGGAACTAAAACAAAGCTTAATATAAAGGAAAAGCTGGAGAGGTGACGGAATTACCCACGATGTCGGAATATACCGCGTTTACCCTACCTATATTCCGACACATTAAGGACGCATTGAGAAATCAGAAACTATAAGATAAAACCGTATGCGTTACTCGAGTTCTGTTTGCTTTACGTGACTCTCAAAACACCGCACGACGCTCCAGCAACAATGAAACGTCACAAAATGTTGCTAAATTTATTTAAAAGCCTTTAGGATGCAAACCTACCAAATCTCTATATTCCGACACTGTGTGTGACTATATTTGGCATGTGGTAAGACATATTCCGACCGCGCTTCAAATTGTACTAATATGTAATTCCGACATCCATGTGTTCGAATTGCAATCGCTGTGTAAGCTGTATTGGAATATGACACGGCTTTGAATTAGAACACTATTGAATGTTGAGCACTACTTAATTAGGCTTTTAATTAACAGTTATTAAGCTTTTAATTAAGAAAATTTTAATTTTTGCACACAGCTTGGAACGAGCTGTGTGTGTCCAATTCTAGTTGTGTCGGAATTAGTTTCACAGCTTGGAACGAGCTGTGTGTGTCCAATTCTAGTTGTGTCGGGATTAGTTTTTATGTGTCTAAATCCATTTCTCAACTTAATCATCTATTAATTTATTTACCATTTGAAATCAGCAAATACAAGTATACTTAGAGGATTTCTAATATATTCACAGACGTATTTAAAGTCTCAAACCATAATATTCTTTCTACACAAACAGTTTATCACTATTTGATAGAGCAAGGTCAACCATCAACTTTTGACACATTTTTCGATGATCTCATTGGGTGGCATGCACCATCTCTCTTTGGAAGTTTGGATCTCAACATTTTCCTGCTAGATGGCCCAGACCTAGTGTTTTGGCAGTAGTTTGACGCGCAAATGTATGACTTCACTATTTTAAACATCAACAAACGCATGGAACTAAAACAAAGCTTAATATAAAGGAAAAACTAGAGAGGTGTCGGAATTACCCATGATGTCAGAATTACCCATGATGTCAGAATATACCACGTTTACCCTATCTCCTCCTGGCTCCTGGGATTTTCAATTTCAAGCTACAACATTGAGATGCATATCATTTGATGCATAAGGGGCCTATATCTATCAATTCATTGTAGTTATTTTCAAAATTAGAATTTTTGTGGGTGTACTAGATGTAGTACCTAGGTAAGACCCTGGAGACTTTTTCATAAATTTTTGAAAATTTTTTAATATCCCCCTATTTCCCCCTCTGTTTTTTCAAAATACTTTCAAAACTATAAGGAAATTGAAAAAAAACTACAACCAATCTCTAGATATGTTATTTGCAAATTGAATAGTATATCTCTCATTGCTGTAGCTTCAAAACAGTAGGAGGAGATTATTTTTTGAGTGACAATAAGTGTGAATGTTCAGTAGAGCCTGACAAAGTCCTGGGCACCTTGAAATTGGCATTCAAGCTTTCAAGGCTGCAAGGAGGCAACACTTCACAATACTGGAGCTCAATTTCTCTCAAGGATGGTGCAAACAATGGTGCAAAGAAGAAGACTAGCTTTTTAAAGTGCACTGCGGCAATTATTCCCTATATTAAATTTTAAAGAACTCCACCACCCTAACCTTCTGCAATCTGTCATAAATCCATAAATCAACGTACAGAGATGGTTTTGGAACCATTGGATAGGTCAGAATGTCAGCTTTAAGATGAGACTAAAAACCAGAAAAGCCAAAACTGTCTATTTTTCACTGGATGCTCCCCTTAAATTCTGATGCATGTAAACTAAATTATTATAACCTTAACCAAATTTCATCGGCTGAAATGGGAAAATCATCCGTGAATTGTACAAAAATCCCTGTGAATCTGGCTAATTCCACCTGTTTGTATATATGGCATTTGCATAGTTTCTTTAGTGAATAATGAATCTGCAATTTTCAATAATCATTTTAAAATGATTTTTTACCTACAATTTCAGATAACTTCAGCCCTATATTTTAAATTTGAAATGTAATGCTTCCTTACTAGAGTAGCAGATATAGTTACAGTGTGGATTTTCCTACTGTTTTTAGCGCATTTTCTCATTTATGGAAAAAATGCACTATTGTGCTCACCATGTCCGTCTGTCTGTCTGTCCGTCCGTCCGTGACCTCAAGTTTTTGTCGACATGAAAATGGCTCTCTGTCACTTACTGCAGTGAGTACTGAGTTATATTTTTTCAAGTTATCCATCCCAGAGTGCAGACTTTGCAAGCAGAGTTGCCACTTGCCAAGATATGGATTTTTAGCCCAAAGTGTTGCTAGCCATTTTCAAGATGAGTTGCTGGATAATTTTTAATAAGAAAGTGCTGCAAGCAACTTTGATAGTATTAGTATTATTAATAGTGAGTATTTGACTCACTCTCCATGCACTGCAACACTTACACTCATTGCAACTGGTTTCTGGACAAACTTCACTGCATCCTGATCCATCCAACGTACCAGAAACCTTACTGTATGCGCTTGCGGTCTTTCAGATTTGCAGTAATTGCAACAAGTTCAGTCCAAATGTGTTGGCAAGATCTTCTGAAGGTGTAAATTTTGCTGCTGATGTGTTACCAAAGATCTTTCAATATTCACATACTTTCTGCACCCTGGTATAATCTATCTAGCTATCTTGAGTCTTGACTCCTAAGACCACCTTAAATTCATTTATATTCATGTCCAATTTCTAATCACAAACTTCTAATTGATCAATCAAAACTGCCTGGATTAATACTGGATGCCAGTGGGCCAGGGTGCAGAAAGTGGGTGAATATTGAAAGATTATTGGTGATGCATCAGCAGCAAAATTTATGCCTTCAGAAGATCTTGCTGACACATTTGGATTGAAATTATTGCATTCTAGAAATCACTTTAAAATTATTGCAAATCTGGAAGACTGCAAGCGCAGACAGTAAGGTTTCTGGTACATTGGATAGATCAGGATGCAGTGAAGCTTGTCCGGAAATCAGTTGCAATGATGCAATGCCTGGAGAGTAAGGGATATACTTTCAAAGTTGTTAGCAGCATTTTGTCATTAAAAATTGCCCAGCAACGGATCTTGAAAATGGCTGGTGACAATTTGGGCTAAAAAATCCATATATTGGTGATGCTGCTTGCACACTCTGCACCCTGGCCAGCAGGAAAAATATCAATGTACACTTAAAGCAAAAGCTACTGTATAAAAATCTTTATCTTATTGGTAAGATAGCCGTCTTGGAAGACGGGTGGTGGTTGTTTGGGGTTTGGAGGTGTTTCATTTAATTGGCCCGTTACAAGTTCCCAATATCTCTTGAGATTCCGTATGGGCAACCTTCCTCATTTCGTCTCTCTTGAATTCGAAGATTAAGTCCAACTTCAGCCTTTAGCACGACCCCAAGGACAGCAAACGAGGAGATTCAGCCCGACGATCGAATTTCCTTCATAGATCGTTGTAAACTTCAATTCATCGACATTCTATTCTGCTTGAATAAAAATAAAAATATTTTTCGTTATTCTTCTACCGCCTAGGTGGACATTAACTGTTAATTCCTCTGAAAAGGGAAGTCGCGTAGTGAAGTTATTGTACAGCTACTACTGGATTTTAAAAGCCATGAATTTCTACTTTTTTTCTATATCTTGAAATCATACCTATTTTCTTCTATATTATAGCTATATAACCATATCATTTTAGTACTTTAATAGGTATGAAATCTTATAGTTCCAAAGTTATGTATTTATTATTTGATGAAAAATATTTTAGTGTGATGGATCTAAAAATGCTTCATTTTATAAGATTTTTAACTTTCAAGATTCAATATCAAGCTCCTGCCAAAATATCTTGCACCATAATTGCTCCCAACTTTCAAAACATTTCTTAGACTATCACACAGCTGGTTTTTTTGTCATGACATACTGCATTATAAATGCATTTCTTCTTTAGCAATAGTCACATACATTATCACATACTTAATTGTATCTAATGTGAAAAAATGTACTTAGGCTACTTCTAGGTAGGTAAAATTACAGATTTTGTGTATGTAGGTTACTTTGTATGCACAGCTTAGTAAACCAAATGAGCTGTCGGTTATACACAAATTTGATCCCAGCTCATAAATGGCTTTTTACTGCCCAAATAAGAATTCTAGGCTCAAAAAATGAACTTGCCATCAAAAATAAAGTCACAGTTTGACCATTAATTTATGGTTTTCATTGTCAAGTGGCAAGTTAATTGCAGGAGCTGCTAAGTGCTAACTCATGTTCCATTGATATTACAGCTTTCCTGGAATTTTTGAAGCCATAAGATTTCTTCTAGATGAATTTTTTACAAAAAAAGACCCACAAAACTCCAGAATTAAGCAAAATATATGACAAAAATCATAAAATTCAAAGACAAAGTAAAACTTGTCATATCTTTGTCATGGTCTTGTTAGACAGCTTGCTTATAGCCAAGGAAGTACTAATTTATGAAAAAAAACTTCTGTGATGAAATTTCTTTGAAGTGAAGAGCTATGTTGGTATAATTTTGTTCATAATTTAACATGAAAGCTGATTTTAATTCAATTCAGGATGAAGTTTCAATGGCGTTCAGTGAGCTACAAGACAAAGCTTGTGCTACTCAGCTCTCTGGCCAATTTTATCAATGCAGCTGACCGTGTTATAATGCCACTTGCCATCGTCCCAATGACTGCTGAGTTCAAGTGGACCCTAGCACAACAAGGCTGGATTTTATCAGCATTTGCTTTTGGTTATTTCAGCAGTCAGGTATTTATTATTCATTGCAATAGTAACTTATTTAGAAGTTCTCACATGAACTATTTGTTAGAAAATTTATTGTCTTCTCCATCAAAAATCTTTTGAATAGACTGCTAATACTTTCAATTTGTCCCTATTAGCAATTTGTTCATCAAGTGATTTGCCTGCTGAATTGTATAATGAAGTAAAAATCAGAGTTTCCTCCAATTCCATAATTATACATCATAGTTTCTTGGTATTAATATTTCTGAATTACAGCTCCTGGGTGCAGGAGCATGGAGTCAGTGTGGTGGACGGCGAGTACTATGTTGTGCAGTGCTTCTATGGTCTCTGTCTACACTCGTCACTCCATTAGTTGCACGTTCTTTTGCTACCCTCGTTCTTGCCAGAGTTGCACTTGGCATTGGTGAAGGTCTTGGTAGGTTCAGAGGTTTTTTGAAATTACCTTGTAAAATTGTAATCTTATTTGTTCACTTAACTTGAAATTATTTTCAAACTAATTCATTAACTTTTTACTCTTACATGTTTTTTTTTAAATCAAACGGTGACAGATTTTATGTCTTGACCCTAATTGACATGAAGTTGTGTGTTGCAGGCCTACCAACCATCTTCCAGCTGTATGGTGAAAGTGTGCCATCAGATGAGAGGAGCAGAGCATTTGGGTACCTGGTGGCAGCAGGCAGTGTGGGACAGACTCTTGCATCAGTGATGGTACCTCATTGGCATTGGAGCTTCTCCTTTATTTTGCTGGGAGGTGTTGGTTTGCTATGGGTGCTTTTATGGCTCATTACTTGCCAGATGCACCCAAAACCACACTCACCGCTTGCCACTGATGAAGAAAATCCTCTTGTTGATGAGCTTGCTACCAGCAGTTGTGCTTTGCCCATAACGACATGGCTTAGAAAGTGGGCCTTCTGGGCAATTTACATAGCTCACTTTGCCATGAACTGGAGCAATTACATGATCATGCAGTGGTTGCCCACATACTTGGGTCGGGTTCTGAGCGCTTCTCCGCAGAGTCTGAGCATCACAGCCATGCCTTATGTTGTCAGCAGTGTCTGCGGAATTGGTGAGAGTCCTACAGTCTTCTATTGTACATGAAGCTCTCAGCAGTCTGATTTTTATTGAAGATTCACAAAATGGTTTCACTTTTGATAAAGCTTAGGTATCCAAGTTTTGCCCCCAAATTCGTGAACATAAAAACGCCAAGTCAATTCATCAAAGTTTGGTATGTCATTATGCAAATGCTGTGGAATGCCTGCTAAAATGACTGTGATAACTGCAGAGTGTCCAATTATGACAGTGCAAATTCTAAAAAAACTTTCTATTTATAGGCTGGGCTCATCTGGCAGACAGCTGGGTGATGAATGGGTCTCCTGTGTTGCGCGTACGTCGTATCATGACATGCATAGGACTGCTGGGACCAGCCGTCTGCCTCGCTTTCTTCTCTGAAATCACCTCTCTTGCCTTTGCCATTCTGTGAGTCAGGATTTAGAGTTTTGATTTAGCACTAATTCTGCAGAGATTTTTTCATCTCTCAAATCTCGCATTTCTTAGGTTAGGTAAATGATTTCACATGAAGATGTGGAAAAAAAATGTTCTGAACTCCAATATGGCATTTTGACTAACAATTTTATGTATCACAGCGTTATCAGTGTGGCAATGGGACTCTGCGCTGCCAATTCATCAGGGCATCTTAGCAACCATGCGGAAGTGGCACCTAAACATGCTGGTCTTACGTTTGCCATCGCCAACACAATCGTAAGGCTCTTTTTGCAACATCTTGCACTAAATTTGTGGAAATAAATTGTCCTTCAGTTTTATTACGTCATCAGTTTTATCATTGAATGTTACCAGCAATGAATGTTACGAAATTTTAGAATAATGTCCTATTGCTTCAATATCTCCCATTATGTTTTTGTTTTCCCTATTAAACATCATTAGTAAAAATTGAACTAATATTTATTTATTACATTATTATCGTTTACTGCACATAAAGTTGAATTATAAATAGGTAATACTTTCTACTACTTTACGGCCAGGCCACGATACCTGGCATGCTGTGTGGCCCTTTAACAGCGGAGTTGGTGACGGCATCACACGGTCGTTGGTTCCCAGTGTTCCTGTTAGCAGCCACCATCAACTGCACAGCTGCCGTCGTCTACCAGTCCCAGAGCAGCGCCTCGGCAGTTGTTCTCCCTGGCGATAACGCCGCATCTGAAGCAGACGAGAAGTCTGTCAAAGACAAGCTTGTTGCGTGACTTCTAAGATATCCAGCTATTAGATCTCACTAAGTTTTCACAATATCGCGCATTTGTGCGCAAGGGATTTTACTGTGAACCAACTCATGGTGGAAAACCTATACTATTCTCAATAACCCATAATTTTTACCCTGAAGACTAGAGTTTATGGTCTACTCATTATCCACTTTCAGAATGTGCTGCAATAATATCGCAGTGGTATTGTAAATCCAATGAAAAGTACATTGTTATGAAGTTTCTTATCTCATGACGTTCCTCTTTTTTTGCCGTAAATTTTTTTACCTTCTTTCACTTCTTATTTATTTATTTTTTTTTTTTTTGTTGTGCTTCATACTTGAAAGCCCCGTCAACGATTATTTTGTAATAAACCAAAGACCAAAATCATTTACATGTCTAATGCACGTTTCACCTATCACAGTTCGACCCATTAGTTGGTTTTCTTCTTTATTACAAGGCAATATGTACGAATATAATAATATTAGTGGAATAATTCTAATAATAAAAATATTGATTATTATTATAATTTATTGCTAGAATTTGATTTCAACTTGTCGATTTTCTTGCCTGCGAATGATTTATTGATTTATATTCGGTCATTCCCACAACATCACCGCTTCCAACATGGTAACTGAGTCTGTTAAATTCCTTTCTTTATCATTATCGAGATTCAAGTATTTTTTTTGCCATTGCAGGGATGATGTGAGTCCATTGAAATAACCTATACCTATACCTCTTAATTACTATTGATGGTAACATTTGGTCCCCAGATTAACATAGCAGGTGCCTGTTATGTATTTTTTGTTATTGCTTGATATTTTCCTATTTATTGTTTCCTTTTATTTCGTGAGGCGAAGAAGAATCTCATACTTATGTTATTGTACGGCTTGTTTGCGCTATTGGCGCTATTCGTATAATCAGGTGAATTCAAATGTAGGTCCCTCTGCAGTTAGCCAATCATTGTATTCACTACTGAGAATGAATAATTTCGAATACCATGCTGGACCTTTACGTTTCTCTCCTCATATTATGGGCTTAAATTTTTTTTCAAAACTATCGTGTTTCTGGTTTTGCGTTTGTTGTTTTGTAATACATCATAGCTTCTCAAATATTTAACTTACTGCATAAACGTATGACTATGATGTCCGGTAGGTATGGTATATTGGTATTACACGTTATTCTGATAGAATGCTGAGCCTATTCATGTTTAGGTGAGCGTTGATCAATGTACAAGAGAAATCGCGCAGAATCTTGTATAAGTTGTTTATGACCTACCAAACTACCTGAAGTTTAAATTGAACAGAATATTGATAGTGTGCACTGCAGAGCATTTGCAATTAAGCTTATTGGAAGCATTTTCTGGTTCCATCGATGAGTCGATATCACTCATATGTGCGATTTCATTAGACAGTTTAGGGTATAACACTGGTTTAACGGTCACTAGTATTAATGTTTTTGTTGTAATAGTGTTTTTGACTCATTGCAAGTATACAGACGTGACAATATTGTAGTTGCTTGTCATGTTTACAATTTGTTGGGCTGAATTCAAACGCACTTGTTTTATGATGCAAGAACTCACAAGAAAACGTGTGTCAAAAAAAACTATGATAGTTGGGGGTTTCAATTACCTCCCGTTCATTATTGTCTCTTCATCTATGATGAAACGCTGATATTTTATGTGAATTTTCTGTAAGATGTGTTGTACAATGTACATGGATTTGTTTGTGATAAACGCATGATCGCTTGAACAAAGTGTAAATAGCAAGAGTTGTTGACGAAAATTTGTATTAGTGTGTAATGTAAGGTGCCTCTGAACGTGTGATAAAGACTCGGAAATATTATGTCTTGAATAATTTAAACAAAGAAATATACTTTTAATATTTGATGTAATTTTTACCACTTTGAATTTGCCTCTCCTGTAAGGAGGTCAAGGCGTAATTTAATCAATTTCAAGTTTTATCTTTAATCAATAAGTCGTGCGACAAATTTCGTTGCATTAGCTACGATTAATCTGACGGGGAAATAATTTCCGAAATATTAAATCTATTGCAGCAAATTCTCATTAAAACTCGGCGAACGGCTTCTCATCTTGTCGTAGTAATAGCAACGATTCAGTTAATGTTAATGATTACGTGACTTGAAGGGGCTACATGGAAGGCCAGCTGCGTAAATAGTTAACAGACGTTCCTGGAATTCAAGAATACTAGAGACAGACTAATGTTCATCGGGGTTTCATCATAAATTTAGTGGGTCAAGTTTAACGAAGCGCCAATTTCACATGTATCAAACGGTTACAAAGAACTTACTATTGCGTTTTTTACTACATTGTTTATCACTAAGGAATGAATAAAATATAAAAATACGGGAAAAATCAGAAGAAGGTGGCTGGAAGAAGGCGGACAAAATGTGTACTCGACTACAGGCCAAATTTTGCCTATTCAGCGCCGTCACTATTATACCATATGTCCATATTAATATAAAAAACATGTTGCTGAACTTGAAACAAGGTGAAAGTCTTGAATTTAGTATCGCTCATTCTGTGACAGTATTATAAACTGCCAGTCAAACTCGCCTCAACCTCTAAATGAATGTCGTTTGAATGTAAATTAAACGTAAAGTAAATGTTGATTTGATCCGCATTTCGAACATATTGTAATGGGCTGTATTGAATTTTAATGAACTGTATTGAATAGTAGAATAAAGTGCGACTTCTTGCAGCTTCAAAATTTAATTGCACAGACTTGTTGCAAACCGAACAAAAATAAAAGTATACTACATTCGCACACATATATAATCACATAAAACATATAGATCTGATAATAATCAAAGAAAGTTTAGAAACGCTCAATATTGCATGAGAATATGTTCAACATCAATTTTTATAATCGTATATGGCTCACATGATTGCTGGGAACTTTGCAGGAAACGGGAGGCAATTTCATGTGAAGGATAATGGTACAGAAATTAGAATGTAGAACAGAACAAAAATATTTTCATTTCTAGATGTTCCAGCTAGTAAAATGTAATGTAACCAATATAGAACCATAAATTTAAAATGTTAGACGAATACGCCTTTCAGAGTTAGCCAGTCTTCTACTTTTGGCAACATCGCCATAACAGCGGCCTAAGCTATTGGTGGTTAATACAGGAGTGCATCTTGGTCGAGGTTAGTGAAAATTTATCAAAATTGTGTATTATAGTGTTTATTTCTTATAGAAATAATTCTCCCAGAGGTGCACGGGCTGTCCATGGTGATTTCATGACTTTAGTGAATTCAGGCAATCAACATTATTGCTCGGAGTGTAATTTATTGGTCCTGATTTGGATATGAGATTTACTAGTATTTAGAGAATTTTGTTTATAGGTATACCTAATTAATTAGTGTTTTTTGTGCATTATGGTATTTGACGACCATTGTAGATTTTTAATACTACATTTTTTCTGTCATGTTCGTAACGGTACCTAGTTTAATGCTCCACATCGTCCTTGTCCTTCATTCCTATTCTTCCCGTTGACGTGATCCCCTTGCATTGTATGTTAGATATTTTCAATTTAGCTAGCCTATTATGACTATGTCTTACATAGTGACAAAGCAGAGAGTTTTTTAGACTCTCCCTCAAGTTCATTTTTGAGTCTTATAAGTACCTAGACCAATAAAGTATCATGGATACCAGCATTATCATAACTTAAGAAATTGGTTTAAATCTTGAGTTATTGAGGAAATTAAAAATGAACTGATTCCAAAAAAGCTCTGGTTTGCCACTATGATGTCTTAGTATGTCTATGTATTCTCATATTCAAAGGATTGAAATTAATAGTCATTGGTTTATTGTGAAATGAGTTTTTTTGCTAATAATTATAATTATATTCATAGCCTACCTACTTTTTGAATACTAGCCATCTCTCTCTGGTCTGATGTGATTAAAATTGAGCAAGCATGAGTCGGCATGACCAAATTATAGGATAGCTAATAATAATAAAAGCAGAAGAGAATCTAAAAAAATGTGGGAACTAGCCTAGCTACCTACTTTGGAATCATTAGAACTGAAATCATACTAGGGTAAACGAGGTATATTCCGACATCGTGGGTAATTACGTCACCTCTCTAGGTTTTCCTTTATATTAAGCTTTGTTTTAGTTCCATTCGTTTGTTGATGGTTGAAATGGTGATGTCATACATTTGCGCGTCAAACTACTGCCAAAACACTAGGTCCTGGTCATCTAGCGGGAAAATATTGAGATCCAAAGAGAGACAATGCACGCTACCCAGTGAGATCATCGAAAAATGCGTCAAATTTGACAGTTGACCTTGCTCTACCAAATAGTGAATAACTGTTTGTATAGGAAGAATATTATGGTTTGAGACTTTTAAATACATCTGTGAATATATTAGGAATCCTTTAAGTATAAGTGAAATAGAATCACGGCTCGTAGAAATGGAATCACGGCTGGCAAATCCATAAAACCACGGCTCGAAAAATTCAGTCGCGGCTCGCCAAGTAGATATATTCCATACTAGTAGTGCGGTGTTTTGAGAGTCACATAAAGCAAACAGAACTTGAGTAATGCATAGTTATTTTTTTATAGTTTTTCATTTCTCGATGCGTCCTTATTGTGATGGGATACCGCGTTTACCCTAAGTTATAACTAGGATATTTTTATTGCAGTCAATTCAAGGGTGAACTGGAAAGTTAACCAAGATTTTGCCATTGCAGTTGTTAGGCCTATACACTGTGCACCAAGCCAATTTGGAATAGGGCAGCAGTTTCCTAATGCATAAAAAAAACTAAAAAAATTGTTTCACTGGTAATTCTTTTGAATTGATGGTTGAAATTGGCAGTTTTTTTAGGAATTGATGAGAGGACATGGGAACTGGTAAAATTTGCCAGATTCACAGGAATTTGTCAGATTCTCGGATGGCATCTGCCCAATTTTAGTTGACACTTGGCAGTCCAGGATGGAATTTTAAAAAATGTAACTCAGTACTCACTGCAGTGAGTGACAGAGCGCGCATTTTCTCATAGACAAAAACTTGAGGTCACGGACGGACAGATGGACATGGCAAGCACAATAGTGCATTTTTTCCATAAACGAGAAAATGCACTAAAAATTATGGTCCATATATTCTTATTGATTCACCTCTGCCACTTTTTCAATCCACAAATTTTAGACTGCCCCAAGGTGGTCCAAACATTCCCTGCTTAGAACAATCTGGCACTGTGACCTGTGAGTCTATTCCAACTCCACCTTGAAGTTTTGTAATTAAGATGAAAAAAATAAGGGTTTAAACTGCTAAATTGCTTAAATATGTGCATTGGTTGCATGATGCCATCAGTGATTGAAAAAAAATTACAATAATTTACATTCCTTGGTTGCTCAGGCATGAGTCATCTTTCCTTGGCTTCTCGTCTCTTTCAAGCTTTCCAGTTCATGCCACTGTTGCAAAAGAATGTCAACACTATCACTGGTCATCAATAATATGCACAATATCACAATAAAAAAATATGCACAATATTACAATGAGAAATATGCATAATGCACTATTAAATCTCACGAATTCACAAACAAATATCCCCCACACGTGAGTCGTGAGCATGTTGTCAGCCAACACCCTGTTTGACTCCTGCTGGCTGCCGCTGGCTCATTTGGTTGCCAAAGGCACTCTTCTTGCCTAACTTCTTATTGACTCTTCCTTGCATTTCTGGATCTCCTCTTATTGATTTCACACATATAGATGAGCAGAATGATTTAAAATGTTGATAAATTATATTGGTTATTTTTTAACAGTGCAATTAATACAGTTAACCACTTCTTATGAATTAAGTTCATAGCCTTTGGCAAGGGTCTTTAGGTCATGGCCTTTAGGGCCATGACTAGAGCTTTCCCGCCATTTCTGGACCTGCGAGATTTCTGCCAGACAGGGTTGATGATTTTTTTTTTAATCAAGATGCACAGACTTGGTGACATTTATTTTTCCACAAAATCCACTGCCTCTGAATAGAAAAAAATATAAGTTGCAAAGCATGTGTAAAAAATATTTTGCATTAAAGAATATTAAAATTGCTTGTTTGCTTAAATCGCAAGTTAACCAGGAATTTATAAGCAAAAACAATACCACAAAAATTCTTATCTTTATAAGAGAAAACGTTTTCTCTTATAAAGATGTGGTGAATTTTTGTGGTATTGTTTTTGCTTTTAAATTACTGGTATAAAAGAATGTTTTAAGGGAAGCAAACATTATGAAATTTTTTCTACTTGCTTTGTGGCAACACTTAAATTGTAGCTGCACAAGTAAACAAAAATAACTTTTCAATAAACAAGATGGCATTGACATGATTTGAAATTTTTTTATTCAGATCATAAAATTAATGGTCTCCATTTTGCAGATACTATATTGCAGACTATACTCACAGTCCCACCTATATTGAAGCAGTGTATTTAAAACTAAAATAATTTTTTGCATAACATTTTTGCTGCGATTCCCTGTATATTTGCTTCCGTAATGATGCAGAAATTACTATCTTATCACTTTTTTGGGCATGACTAAAGCTTTTGTTCCATTGTTGGAGCTGTAACCTGTAAGCTTCCTGCAAACTTTAATGCAACTTATGTTGCTGCAGTAGGTACTTGTGTTTCTGGTCCCCCAACAGAAATTATTTATTCTATTGTCAAAACTTACCCTTGTATTTTGAGTCCTTTCTAAACCACTTTGTGGCTATATGGTAATCAAACTTTTTAAACTGACCGCATCTGGTTTTTGTTGAAAAATTTGTCTCTCTAGCATAATTTAGCCTATTTCTGACCTGTGACCTGTATGGCATCTTTTTTCATTCTAAATTGAGACATTTTCTCTATTCTTCTAATAGAAGCCACTGCCCACAGGTCATAAAGATCTTGTTCCTGATGAGAGGCTGGTACACGTGGCACAATCCTTGAGGCAACTCCACACTAATCAGTTGATAAACTAATTTGGTGGTGGTGGCTCCATGGTGTTATGAAATGTGCAAAAAAATGTAACTTCAGTCCATCATCAGTGTGTCGAATAAGCAATTAGCAATATCATTGCTGTATCTACAATGAGATTGGATTGAGCTCATGGATTGGGTGCTTATTGCGAATAGCAACCTTGCCTCGTCTTAACATGTTTAGGACAAAATCCAGAAGAATCAGTAAGAAGTCCCATTATTCTTCAAACTCTTGGTCTACTCTTCAATGCCAAATGGAAAAAATCATTTAAAATCAATTATCAATAATGTTTATATATTTATAAATGTAGTGTTTATGTACACTATTGAGTAAAAAATTGAAACGGGGGAGTCCTGTGATGCCACACGTAAAGCAACATGTCGCATTGTCCATGCCTAGTTAAACATATATTTACTAAAGGATAGATATTGAATTCTATGTTATTGGGACAGAAGAGAGATGAACTTAGATTTTAATTTTTCTTCGAATCCTTTGAAATAGGGAATGGGCAAATTTTTGAAATGTGTGTTGTAACTTCAATTCTCTGCCTTTCAGATGCAGATCTTTGTGAAGACTCTCACGGGGAAGACCATCACCCTTGAGGTGGAGGCTTCTGACACAATTGAAAATGTCAAAGCAAAAATTCAGGACAAGGAAGGTATTCCCCCTGACCAACAGAGACTTATCTTCGCTGGAAAGCAACTGGAAGATGGCAGGTAAGATACTTCAGTTCCTTTTCTTTATTTTGCCCTTTAGGGACATCTTGTTAGCATTTGACAATTTAAAAATGTTAAATATAGGAAAAGAAAAATCTTCAGGAAAGTTTGAAAAAAAACAACAATTAAAAGAGATGAATAAAGATAATTATTGTAAGCAGGTAGAACAAGGTATTACCAGACGCAAGAAAATGTGATGATCTGTGACGCCATCCGGTAGCTCCTAATACGGCAATACATTTTTAAAAATATAATTTACTATTGATAGATCTATAATCTATATAAATAAGTTATGACGGACATATTACTATTCGTGCAGGACTTTGAGCGATTACAATATCCAGAAGGAGTCTACTTTGCATCTGGTGCTGCGCCTGCGTGGTGGCGTCATCGAGCCTACGTTGAAGCTGCTTGCTGAGAAATATAACTGCAACAAAATGGTGTGCCGCAAGTGCTTTGCCAGACTTCATCTCAGGGCTACGAATTGCCGTAAGAAGAAATGCGGACACTCGTCCAGCCTCCGACCCAAGAAGAAGCTGAAGGGTTAAAAATTGACTCATTACTCGGTCAGTTTTCAATAAAGGAGAGTAATGACATTGATTTTCATTCCTCGGAGGGTTGGGGATGTGAGTGAACAATCAGGATATTGATAATTTTTATTTTTGCGATGTATGACAAATGTACAGAAACACCAAATTATCGTTGCCACACGCTGCTAGTATCGAATTTCCTTCCTTCGGCGGACAAAATGATAGTCGTCGGACTGTTGCATGATGCGCCGGCGTCAGAGTTGTAGTGGCAATCAATTCGTTTCGCTGCTCATTGTATTCGTGTAGTTTGACATCTCCATTTACTAACCCTGCAAAGTGAACATATAGGTATTGGAGCGCAGTATAACATATTCAATCTATGTAGTATCACAGTATAGCACAATCAATCAGTATCATCCATGATTACTAACGAACGCAGGAATTCCTCACCTGTAGCTATAAGCCATTCTGTTTGACGGTGGGTCGCAGTGACAGCCACTGCGGACACTTCATCCTCTTCCCGCAGCGTGTTTGCACGACGCCACAATAACGTCCCACAGCTCTGATCTCTTGCCCGATCTCCACTGGCTTGCCATACAGCGATTGTCTTATCCCTGGATATCAAAAGTAGCGTATTAAATACTCTAGCAATGTCACGCTCAACAATTTTTCTTAAGAGAGATAGCACCGTAATAGTTAGTCTCGTTACACGGCGATTTTACTTTGGGATTAATCTACAACTTGTACCTACCTAGATACAACTGACACTACCGCGTCAGCAGCCATCAATAGGTAGATTTGTGAGATGTTGGTTCCCAGACTGCGATACACGTAAGCCTATAAGGTGGCAAGCGAACACGCACCGCTAAGTTGGTTCAATTCGTTTTCGTTACTTAAATAGATCTTGATTAAGATGACACGGCAACAATGTGCTATTGGTTCCATTCTAGCGGTGCACCTACATATTCAAATGCCCCATTATTTTTGTCATGAAATAGTGTTACTCTATCCACTGTTAAAGTCATTTTCCTGGATAATTCAACTATGAATATAATATTTACCGCAACTTTAAAAATACTTTTCCAATATGATAATCCATAGCAAGAAAATAGGCAGCCATTCAGGTTTTTAGAGTGCAGCGAACTGATAACGACTAAACTGCGTCATGGGCCTTTGGGCTACTTCAGGCTTGGCTTTGCATCCACGTTGCCTGCAGGTGTCTGATCGGAAGATTAAAACATTTACCTTGATGCCGTGACAAAAGCTGTGTCGCCAGGAGCCCAACTTGACGCCCAAATAATCCGTGAGTGCTGAACACTCTTCTCCAACAAACCCGAATGAAATGAAAGCGTGAATTCATCTGAAAGCAGATGAGAATTTTATTAAAAGAATTATTGTATATTTCCTAGTTATATCACGGGGTTATAATATTAAAGGGAGTTGATTGGATGTGTTATTACATTTCAAAACGCGACCTTTGTCCTTGACCCAAAATTCAAATAAATCGGAAAATATCTAAGATGATTACATTACCTGACAGCTGACCGTCATAGATGGACCAGCTCCTGTCCCTGGACACCGCTAGTAACTTGGAACCATCGCTGGAAAAATTAAGCTGAGTCACCGTCAGGCGATGGTAGTGCAGCTCTTGTAATTGCTGGTACGACTTGGCACTCCTGCACACACATGATAATGTTGTAGATAGAACAAGCATGGCATCAGAGAGCATAGATGTTGTTATGTAAAGAAGGAATAGCATTTTTTTCTGCAAAAGGCGTTTCAGAATACCGTCTGGCGATAATTATGAAATCGCTGGGTTTAGGTACGTCTTCTAGGCCATTCCTCAAGTCATAATTGGCTAACTGTCCTCGTGGGAAGACGCTGTTGAAGAATATTATCTTACTAAGACAGCATCAACACAAAATAGCGCGGGTAAGCTATTTACAAAAATTTTTATTTGTCTTCAGAGTTCAGAACCTTTTTCCTAAAATTAAAATGAACATCAAATACCCGACTCGTTAATTATTGTGTCACAAATTCTCATCCAAAGAATTTGGTCGCAAATCGGCTAAATTTCGAAAGAATGACAAGAGAAATATAATTAAAGCCCATAATTTAACCAAAGACCAACCAAACAATTATAGCTGCGTCTTGTGGCGTGGCAGCTTTGCAAGAAGTAGCGATGTGGCGCGCTGTGGCGGCCACTGCCATAAGCTCGTGCCCGTGGCCGTAGAGCTTGGCAACCTCAGGCCACAGCGTGCCGGCCATCAACGTGTCTTCGGTGGGTCGCGATGCTGAGATTGAAAGATATGATAGTTCAAAAAAATTGTAATTAATACAGGCGAACTAATTAATACATTGATCAAACAATCTCCTCAGAAAGCTTAAAAAAATATTCAGGCTTTTAAAAGTTTTTAGATCGTATATACACTAGAAAAATAATATTAGATGGCAGAGTTTTCTTTTTGAAAAACGTACGATTAATGACCAGAGAATGCATTTTATTCCAATTCTAAGGGAGTCGATAAATTATTCAGATGACGTTAATAGATCGAAAGGCAGGTCTCATCAAATACTTATAATATACTCAATATATTGATATAATATATCATATCAATACATATTATATTATTATATAATATTTGATAGTTTATAATAAATGATATAATGCACTCTCTGGTCATTAATCGTACGTGTTTCAATACTAAAAAGTATAGACTTCTGCATGTTAAGTATTTAAGTAGGCAGTCTTGGCAGAGAACGAAGAACGCTTATAAGTAATTAATGGTTATTACTCACATTCAGTTTGTTGTTGTGGTCGAGGTTGATTTTGTTCACTCAAACTCTTATTACTGAGTCCAAGGGATGGAACAGCAGCGGCGTCAACGAAGTCTCTCGATTCTGAAGATTGAAATTCGATCAACGGTGGGAATGTAGCCACTCAAGTGGAAGTGTAGCCACTTGAGTGGGAATGTAGCCACTCAAGTGGAAGTGTAGCCACTCAAGTGGGAATGTAACCACTCAAGTGGGAATGTAGCCACTCAAGTGGAAGTGTAGCCACTTGAGTGGGAATGTAACCACTCATGTGGGAATGTAGCCACTCAAGTGGAAGTGTAGCCACTTGAGTGGGAATGTAACCACTCATGTGGGAATGTAGCCACTCAAGTGAGAATGTAGCCACTTGAGTGGGAGTGTAGCCACGCAAGTGAGAATGTAGCCACTCAAATGGGAGTGTAGCCACGCAAGTGGGAATATAGCCACTCAAGTGGGAATGTAGCCACTCAAGTGGGAATGTAGCCACTTGAGTGGCAGTGTAGCCACTAAAATGATTTTTTAATGTCACGTTTTTTAAGTCAAAAGGAATAATAGATAACTCATAAAAGCAAAACGTTGTGTTTTTAGTTCAGTTCTCACTGTGGAAAAAGTAAGTGCCTAGCTGAAAAGTTTAATATTGCAAAAATGAGGAAACAATTTGTTACCGACAGTAAATAGTTAATTATCCTTGACTATTTACTTCGATTTCCTTCTTAGATGGCATCTTTTAACGATAACCAATTGCTACTAGCAACACATGGAACAATGCAAATAGAAATTTAAAAATAATTAACGCGTCAAAAGAAAGAACCATCTAGCAGTAACGAAACAAATTATCCCCCTAAAGCAGCAACACCAACCAAGCTCAAGAAGCGGCTCCCAGCCACAGGAAGTAGCAAGTTTCTCCGCCAGAATTGTGGGAGCGGAAAATGCTCTCAAGACTTTTTCTTCGGCGCCCGAGACGAAACTGAGACCAGGCAGGCAAGCGACGCAGCTCATGTCGTAGCCGTGCACCTGCGGACGACAGACTTCGTGCCAGGCACCGTCTGTAGTTTTGGCGTGCAGACGCGTGGTCTGGTCCTCGCTGCACGTCAGCAGGTACCTGCGACACACATCGGTGTTCAGATGGTTTGTGGTAATCACCTTCTGATTGAGAGTAGTAGTAGTAGTAGTAGTAGATTTACTAGCGCTTCAGATTTCTGATTGAGATCAGTAATGAAACTGAATACAATAAAGAATATAGCAGTACAACGACTGCATGTTCAATACCTTGGAATATTGGAATATTAGGGCACCAAGCACTAGATTAAGAGAGACTATAACATTTTATATACTCTATATAACATTTTATATACTCTATATAACATTTTATGTACTCTAATACTAATATCATATTTGATACTCTGATAAGACATCAGGGAGCACTAATATTACTTTAAATAGCATATGACGAGGAAACCTTGGTAAAGGCTATAATTAAACAGACCTTCCCTTGGGTTCCCAGGCGCAGTCGACAACAGGCCTGAAGTGTCCTGCCACCGTTGGCTGCGGCACCCAGAAGTTATCTCCTTCCAAACGCCACTCATGAATACCACCCTGAGCCAAAACATAACAGTACGTTGGATCAAATATTCAGGGGAATGATTAGTCGAGAACCTAGATTATTATAAATAATGGGGAAAATAAGGGCCAAAATTTCCTGAGCCAAAAGATAACAGAACGTTGGATCAAATATTTAGGGGAATGGTTCGTCGAGAACCCAGTTTATTCCAAATAATGGTGAAAATAAGTGGCAGCTACGAAACCTTCACCTGGTAGCTGTGCGCGTAGACCGCACTGCCGTCCCAACTGAAGACGGCAGAGAAGAAGCCTTCCCTGTTGCCGCCGACCTCCCCCAGTCTTGCTGCCTCCACCCAAACGTCACCGTCATTGTCATCTCCTCTGTTCCAGAAACATTATAAAAACATCTAAATAAGTGAATGCTATTATAGAGATAGCTTTCTTCTCCTCTGTTCCAGAAACATTATGCAAATATCTTAATAAATAATTATTATTATAATTACAAAAATGATTGTCATCTCCTCTGTTCCCGAAACATTATACAAACATCAAAATAACCTGTCCCAGGGCATCATAGTTTTTCCAGGCAGATAACATTTTCACACATATCCCTACTTGGCCAATAGTTTCGTTAAACGAGTTATTCATTTACATGATTGTGTGAGCTCGTTCTGCACAGAGATGCAGAATGAGTACCAGAGATACTCTTTTCTGAATTCGTCTTTTCATTTGATAATCCACTGACACCCCCACAGAGCTTTAAATCCCCCATTCTTGATTATTCCAAAACTCTACTCATTCCAAGTCACAATTCCTCCTGACAGTATATCTTTGACAGTAAACCGTTACAACTGACTCTGTGGCATCGGAGGAGGCGATATGACGATAGGACTGAGGCTGCCACATGACTATGGAGCGATCCTCTGTCTGCGTGCAGCTTAGCAGCCGTAGGTTACACTCTTGCAGCCCTGCAATACCGGAGTGGAAAAACATGAAATAAGGACTATATTTTTCTGAATAAGACATCATCTCTGTTTAGAGCTCAGTACAACTCACGCGAAACCGTAGTCATTGGGCTACGTTTTCGTCCGACACTACTTATACTATAATAAATATTTAGACAAAAATAAAGGCACTAATTATACGCTTGAAACGAAAAATTCCCTTACATAGAATCTTCCACACGAATCAACCCTAAACTGTAGTGCTAATAATAATGATAATAATAATGATGATGATAATAATAAATAATAATAATAATAATCAATGTAAACAACCTGGCAGTTGCAGCCAGCACAAGCGTGCTACGGCGCCCTCGTGACAGGAGAGCACAGTCTCCAGAGTCGCAGTCCCGAGTGCGCCCAAAGGCACGGGCCGAACCTATGATCATTACCAACATTAATACGAACTACATGTTTCAATGGTCTTATCATTATGAATATTAGCGTAGACTGTAGAGTAACGATCATAGTATCATGATTTGTCAAATGAAGTTTGAAGATCACTACGGTTAATACAGTAATTAATACACTCCTGCAGGGTTCAATAAACACTTGAATTTCATTCCATTTGTTCACAAATTAGTACCAATGCGAACATCAGTGCCAGCTCTACTTGCAAATTGTGCACGTCACTGAGAAGCATTTGCCAGTAAAAATAGTCGTACTAACAGCAGGGATACTATCAGAGATGGAGGTAAATTTCAAGGTTTCCAAATATTAATATTTCCTGTCACTGAAAAATTAGGCATCTTCATAATTTAATCACAAATAATACAAAATTCAACTTTAAATTCAAATAGCCTCCTGCAATCGAGGCACATGAAAAAAATTACACAACTTGATGAAATTTGACTTGAAATCTGACCGCCGGGAAGAGATATAAATTTTAGTAGCATTAACACTTCCAACAAATACCCGTCAGATCTGACAGGATGAAACATATATGCACACAAAAGGAATTAACAACTCCATTCGTCCAAATTTGATAAAGGAGGAAATTCGGCAAAGGAAGTTTGTTATATAAAAATGGCTTAGCTGCAAAATTTTCAAGTGAATAGCTTTACAGGCATTAACAGAAAGAAATGTAAATACCACCAATGTTCTGTTATACCTATGATCTGTCAACTTGTTCTTAAATGAAACCTCAAATTTAAGATACCTTAAGTGTCTCGACACCGCAGTCGGTATCCGCGATGAGAGTATCACCGTCGTCGGGTCTTGCCGTGCCGTTGCAGCCGTTCTCACTGAGGGCGACACTGCCGCTGCCGGAGTCAGGAGCTGAGGGCTGGTCTAAACGTAACCGCCATACTCGGACACCGCCATCCTTACTTCCACTAGCTAACATCACAGTTCCTCCTAAGAAAAGGCAAACTATTATTTGAGAAAAATCTCTACAAGGATGCAAATAGCCTGAAATGAAGAAATATGATAGAAGGAAAGTAAATGAAGGAATAGATAGAATATGAAATGAAGGAATATATATGAATGAAATGAAGGAATATGATAGAAGGAAATTAAATGATTTATTTGCCCAATCATACTAGCGACGATAGGAAAACATCAATGAAGAACCTAACGTGTAATTTTTAATGAACGATATTGCCGAAAAATTAGATAAAATTCATGACAACCTAATCAAGTATTTCCTGTTTCGAAATCGAAAAACTTGGATGTTGACAAAAGTATTATTTTAACGTATAATGAATTTTTCATGTAGTCTCATTTAACCTACTCCAAAGAAAAATCAATAAAATGTACTTGCTCACCAGATAAAATCATAGATTTACTAACATCATAAATATTATTATCTTGAAATAGAGGATAAAAATCCGTCAGTAAAGAACTTGCCAACATAAACAAAATCAAGCGCTGTTATCCAGTCGCGATGTCCCGGCAAGGCACCCACTCGCTTGTACTGCAGGTCTTCACTTCCGTCCCCCACAAGCTGACCGATATGAGACGCCCATACGTGGACCTGCGTGGGGAATACAATCAAAATTAGTGATGAGCCAGTAAATAAATGACCGGGTAAACATGCTAGACACACCAATCATAGACGAGACATCGGCCGTTACGAGTACTTAGGATGTAACGTGTATTCAAAGAGTTTTGATCGTACGGCTCTAGAATGTAGCGCTGTTGGTACAGCAAATTTCCGGAGAAATTTTCAAGATATACTCGAATAATAATGCGTGTATTCCTTTTAAGCATTGTTTTAATTGACATCAATGGCTGAAACCAGCAGATGAACATTAGGAATAGCAAAAATATTAAGAAATATTCACCTTAGAGTCGTCTCCGCCGCATAGCAAAAGCGGCATAGGCGTGGCGGCCGCAGAGGGCAGAGGCACAAGGCGAAGTTCAGGCACTAACGACCTGCCAGGAAGCTTCACGCTGCTAGAGGACAGCACATTGCCTGGCACGGTAATATTCAAAGTAAAAATACACCATTCATGCACAACAGTTTTAGAACTTGCTCAAGGTTTCATAATATAAACAAATGAGAAGACCAAGGAACATTTCAGATTGAAAAATTTCTGCTTATTAATCGAACTCAATGCCCACCGAGGGTAGGTAAAAATGGATATCATAATGAATTGACAGGAGATTATTACATAAAGGGACGATGTATTGATACAGCTAAAGATCACATTTCTGCATATAAGAAATTTTAAGATAAGATGCCGACATCTTGGTGATGCATACACTCAGACACATGAATGAGAAATTTTCCAAGCAGCGATGTACATTTGTCCTTGCGTGTGTCATAATGACGAACAGTTTGGCTCGTAAAAGGGACATATGAGTGTAACGTCCGCTGTAACGTCATTGGTAAAAGACGTCAATTCTTGGACAATGTGGCCCACTCATTTTTAACACGTTTTTCTTAGCTTAGCTTCGCGTTCGTTTGTTTGTTTGTTTGTTGTTAACATTGACAACGAAAATTAGTCCACTTCTGATTGCTCTAAAGATCTGAAATTCGGCATGCAGGCTATTTTCGCCTAACAATTTCAGATACAATCATAAAAACTAGCAATTGGAGACCTAAATTAGCTTAATTGAGTAAAGTATATATAAATAGTATATATATGGTATGACGTGCGGGCGCTGACGTTATAGACGAGCAGGCGCTTACGCTACGTATCATCGATACGTACGTCAAGTCAAGTTAATTGGCTCGCAACAACGTTTTTCATGTGTAGCAACGGACTGAAAAGGAGAAAATAAAATACTTAAAAAAAACTAAAAAAAAAACACGTTTTTCTTGTGGACTAAAAAGTAGAAAATAAATTATGGCTCGCCCAAAAAACGTGGGTCGGGCTGTACGTTCACCATCAAATTTCCAAAATTCGTGTGTTGTGTGCTTTTCGCAGGTAGAGCCCTCACTCCACACCACGGTAGAGCCCTCACAACTACAGCACCACGGTAGAGCCCTCACAACTACAGCACCACGGTAGAGCCCTCACAACTACAGCACCACGGTCGAGCCCTCACAACTACAGCACCACGGTAGAGCCCTCACAACTACAGCACTAATGCAGTGCCTCGTCCCACCCGACGTGCTGCAGGCGGTGACGAAGTTAAGGGCGTGGTCGGTGCCAGCTGTGACGATGAGCAGACGAGACCCGGAGCAACTGTCGAGATAACAAGCGTCCCCGCTGGAGATGCTGCCCTTGTGGTGACCTGTCGCGTTACATTGCAATCAATTCACATAATTTGGTAGCAAGCATGAAAATTTTTATGGCACAAATTCTAAAATCAAGAATGAAGATTATTTTGTGAGTATTAAACTCTTTCATGAAGCTTTATAATTATAAATTGAAGGAATTACAATATTTAATATTTATCGTACCCAGCAGATGTAATGCTCTGTGAAGGACGTGGTCCACGTAAGCGTTGTCGACACAGGGTTTACTGAGATGCCACACCGCTACGGCACCCGAAGTGTGGAGGCTCAGCAAAGCCGTCAGGTCGTTGGTAAGGCACCGCCCTGACACTAACCTCAGGCCCACGATGTCACCTTCACTTCGGTCTTCAGACAAACCAACGACTCGACCAGCCTGCACAAACCCAGAAGTCTGTGATGGAAAAGGTCACTGGCAGTTTTAAAGACCACGGGAGGTTTTTCTGGAGGCGATCATTGATGGTTCAAGAGGTAGTCAGTGATTATAACATCAAGTTGATGTTATCTACATCAAAGATACTTCGTACAAAATTAACCAAGAATATAATCTAATGAAAACGCAACTTAAATTCATTCATATCATTATCGAAGATGATATGATGAATTTACTTGAAGTTTTCTTTGCTTTCAAAATTTCCATAGGAAATGATGGTACGAATTGAAGCTGAATATTTGTTCTCCATGTGGAAGGCAGCATAAAGAAGGCACGTCTAAGTCACATGCATATTATTAATCAAGATAACGCTTAAAAATGTAAAAATTTAACTATTATTCTTGTACGACACTAAGCAGTTTGAAAGTTAATATCTACTTTCCACTTAAAGGAAATATGCCCGCCTGCGACCAGTCGTTCCCTGATTCCGCAACCCTAACTCAACTAAGATAGATCATAGGTCTTTTCAACCTACAGAGGGCAAATTGAGCCCTTTAGGCAACCTGAAGGTACCCATGGCAGTGAGTGACAGCACCTGTGGGCAGTAAGCCAGCACTCGGCCAGCAGTAGCGTAGAACAGAAGACGGGCGGAGGGGCAGTAGGCAACCACAGCACGACGGCAGGCTGCAGCGCCGCTCACGTACACGCACCGAGCACTGGGCGCGTCCTCCATTTCTGGCCGCACTCGACGATCTCTCGATCTTCGAATACTGCTAATTATTCAGTTGGTATTTTGTATATTATTCGTGTTAAAATCAGTTTCAATCCTCCGAGTACACAGCTTTTGCACCACGGTAGAGCCCTCACTTCATGATGATGTCTTTCTTCATGAAAATGATTTTTCAAACTGACTAGCTACCTCTTTGAAAACTAAACAGATTACCGAGTGGTAAGATTCTTTATTTCTCTATGTTATTCAGTATCTGAAAATACGACGCAAGATAAATCAATAATAGAATTACTAAGTCTGTGCCGTGGATTCCTGGAATAAGAATAAAAAAGAGAGAGCTGTTATTCTATTTTACATCATTAGCTTTGCTTAAAAATTAAAATTAAGCCATGTTGCCTGACGTCCCAATACGATTGATCTTTTTGAACCATCGTGAAAAATAATATCCAATTAAAATGTACATTTAAAATTTTTTGTAAATGTGAATTTAAACTCAATGTCCAGCAATTAGTTGCACTGAGACTCACAAATGCAAGACAGCAGAAGAGCGGTGTTGCAATGAATCAAGTTTGTTGCTACTATTCTCTCTATGCTTTAATTTCCCGTTATATTTGATCTCGTATTTTACCCAAGGCCTTGAGAACTAACGAAAAATTACTAACGTTCAATTGTACGATGATAAACATGCCGAGCTGAAGTTAGCCAAGAGCAAGACACATAAATACTAATATTGAAAGGAAAGTGGCCGATGGAGGCAAGGGTTGCTCAGCCCTTTCATCTTCCACGAAGGGAAGAGCCACAACCGTTTAATCAATTTTTAATTGATAAATTTTAATTAATTTAAAGTTAAAGTTTAAGGTTATGCACAGTTAACGAGCATGAAGAGCGGAACAGAAATGGATGTTAAAACTGGTTAAAATGGTTATTTTTACGCATAAAATTGCCCGAAACGGCCACTATTTACTATCATAATATGTTCAGGCTAATAGAAATTATCTTGCATACCCTCCAATGTTGCATTTTATCCGTTTGAATGAGGATAATGATACGAAGAGGCTATGTAAAAATATATAATATCTCAGACTAATACCACAGTAATTGTCATTTTATAGCAAAAATAATGCAAATAAAATATCAAAGGGAAATTTAGATCCCATCCATCATACCGTGGAATAAATTGCTGTAAAATAATGTCCAGAGGGAAAACAACATTGAACCGAAAAATGCAAGTGCGGTGCAAACAGTAGAGCTGCACGAGACGTGACCGCCTCAACAACAAGCAAAATGCAGGAGTCATGAGACAAATCACGCTTAACCGTTACTTACGGATGATTTTACTGTGAACGTTATATAAAGGAATGGAAACTAGAGTTACAGTCAGTAGACAAAGACTTAGAACACATCGATAAGATTTCCAGTACAGGTGTGAAGAAATTAAACTATTTGAAATAAATCAAAAATATTAAATCATTGCACTTTCAATTGTATTTCAGATAAATTGTGAACACACTAATAGCGTGGACCTCAGAAACTTATACTTATGCATCTACATTCATGGCTACGATTAGGGAAAAATTGTAGGGGCATTTTATTATGTGAAATATTATGGATGATAAATGGCTGTCGTAATCTAACACGTCACTGGCACGCGTCTCCGAACAAAGATGAACACGAAGGAGAACTAAACTAATAATTTCAAATGACGATAAAGAGCCAAACGCATTCGGGTGCATGCAACAGGAATGATTTTGCGAAATATATCGGGGAATAAATGAAGGGTGTTTGTAAGTATTTCGTCTTCAGACGGGGAAAAGCCTTGAAGTAATTCGCATGCATAAATTTCTGGTGCTAAGGTACTGATGTACGAAATGTGTAGTGCGCCAAACTTTAAGGTTATGCTATGATCAGAACCAAGCTAAGACAACACAATAAACTATAGCATACATAAAACATTTTTCAGCATTAGGTAGTGCGAGACATAATGAAATTAAACCTAACCGTAAAAATAAAAACTTTAAAAATAAGATGAAAAATACAACGTTAACGGAAAACTTCAGGAAGGAAATGAGCGGTCCTTATGGAGACAGGTCGGTAGATATCTGTGTCTGGAAACTGGTCTCGACTATTGAACAACTGCCAAAAAGTGAAAAAAGTGACAATTGAAAAAGTAGGATTATCTTGGAGCTTAAGGATCTACCAATCAAACAGCTTCAGTATTAAAAATCAAGAATAAAAGACGAAAGTTAAAACCTCATCACAAGGTAATAGAGAACGACTTGAGAGTACGGAATTGGTCACGAACTGCAGCGCCTCTATATGATTGCCGGCTTAAACTAATAAGTTCAGAAGCCTTCACAGAGAGGGGAGACTAGACACTTGTGTCTCATGCAATAGAAAAATATGTGGAAAAATAGTCAGGCATTTGTGGCAGTGTGTTGTCGACAGTCGTAAAGTTAAGAACCAACGAAGCCACAATATAAAAGAATGTCCTTTCATCCTAGAAACCAGCGAAGCCACAACAGAAAAAAGAAAATAATGGACTTTGAGCTTAGATTTCATGCACTGATGATGTGTCTACGTGCAGGTACCAATGCTGACTGAAGTGGTGCTGATGCCATTCAGGAGGCGCTGCTTACTAGTGCAATGACGAATAACAGATACGAACCAAAGGTGAAAATGAAGCGAAAAAATTACGCGTACATTCAGCCTCAGAATGACAAGTTTTGGCACGCTTGAACACAAAATGAAATTCTTGTAAACGCAAGCGCTGCTGTATTCGTCAGCGTGGCGACAATGAAATTATAGTAGCACATTTACAGTTATTTCCTTTTAGTGACACAAACGGAATAAATCTTACACGAATTGAACAGAAAAAATCGATGAATACCAGTAATGTGTTTCTTCAATAATAAAATAATAATCTTAATATAATATAATGTCCACAACACATCAACGTATATTAATAAAGCCATGAAAATAATGAGCAACATCAGACATGTTCGAGGAAGAACAGCGTCGCGGTGTCGAGCAAAGACCACGGCGCTTGCTTACCCTAATATAAACTGTACAGAAATACCGCTTAGGATAGAAGAATAATAAACCATAGTATTACGGTGCTGGGGATAGACATATTGGAAAAATTACGACGTCGTATGCAGGTACTGAATAAAGGAAATAATTTTACACGAGGTTGAGGTTCTTGTTCAATCTTTTGTTCTGCTTTACGACATTTGTTATCATTTATATGAATTAGCAGGCAAAATTTCTTGATTTCTTTTTACATATGAATATAAATTGTTTTAACAATTTTATAAGCATTTTTTCAAAAATTTGTCAATTAATCGAATTTATTTGATATTTTGACATTTCAGTTACGAATTACATTAAAAATTTTCATTAATAAACGCTGTCGATGGCTAAAAAAATATGGCATGACGTTCTGGGTGAATAAGTTAGCATCGAGTGCCCAGGAAAGATACCACACCGAGAATAATTCAAGCAAAGCCAAGGGGCATGCGTCTCACCTCCGTACGATGGTTCACCACAACATTACAGGGTCGGCATCCACTGTAAAAAGTTTACTTCGTGAGTAAAGTAATACAGAGGCAGCGCAACAGTAAAGTAACACAGAGGCAGCGCAACAGTAACACAGTCTTCGAGTTACTCGCAGTAACTCCACAAGAGTGGGTAACACCGACAGAGACCGTGTAAACAGATCCAGATCTCCACAAAATGGATGTCCAGCTCCAGGATCTCCAGATTGCAATGGCTAACCATCAAATAAACCGCATGGCACGCAGATCTTTTTGGGTATTATTCAGAGCATAATGAAAAATAATGTTCACACAATTTTGTCATGAAAACGATAGTTATGAATATCTGAGCAAAGCCAAAAACTTCCTCCCTCTGGAAGCGTTTCGAACATGGCTTATCGTGCAGGATATTACGATGTTAGTGGTAAAAAGAATTTATTATTCTGAATCGCTCATTTAAAGTTACTCAAAAGTATAGGAATTCATTTCAATCTATTCATATTTTTTCGCATGTGCGCAACATTATACAGTAAATCAAGTATTTTAAAATAAAAAATGCTAAACTCAGGAAATTTCCATTGTAAACACATTGAATAAAAAATTGTGATTTTTTTACATTTCTTTGCTTGTAAATTCTGAATTAATTTGTGAACTGAACAAATTATATTAATAATAAAGCTATTCGCGATATTAGACTAGCAAGCGAGTACTCCAAAAACCACCTGTAAAAATTCAATTGAGGCGTAAATAAATTATTTAATTGCCATTAAGACTACAATTGCAGCTAATTTTGTAGAAAACTTTGCTCAGACATGAGACACGTCAGTAAGACTAAAAGAATCAGAGCAGGAACTGCGTCGTCGAATAATTTTGAGTGCTCTGTTGAAGATATCTCCTGAGGGAGCCCCAGCTGCACCAATGCCACCTGATGACATTGAGCTGCGCATGTTGATGCGAACGTCATGAACATTACCAGAAGGAGCTGCCGTGTTGTCGTTCCTCCCGTGGACAGACTGCAAGACACTTGTGTTAATGAAACGATGCTCTCGTTTGCCGTCTAGTGGACCCTTGTGATTGTGCTGACTAGCGCCTGAACGTTGGTCGCCTTTGCAGTCTTGTACATTCAAGGCGGTTTCTAGACATCTTAAAAGATCGTCATTTTGTGAAGCATCCAGTAATTGATTTTGCCTTCTAGATGATTTCACGCAAAAATCCTCGTTAGTTTTTGCTTGTTCATATTTGTTACCACTTACCCTCAGAGAGTTAAATGAACGTAGAGGTAAATTGCAGGACTTGCGAGAAGCAGAGTCATGAAGATCAGCTGACGACGTACATTGGAATGCTGCAACATCAGCTTCGAAGATTTCATTTAAAAATGCATTTGAGTGCATTGTTTCTGGAGCAGTTTCACCCCTATCCGTTGCCGCTTGTGGGATTGCAATTCTACCTTTGACAAATCCCTCAATTTCTGTTTTATTTGCTGAGGCAGCATTTTGGTAATTTGAATTACAAACCTCGACACGAGATGAACCACAACCACACTGTTTTAGAAATGATGATTGCAAAGTTTTTGCATTGGATGCATCTTGAAGAGTTTTAATTTGAACAGTTTTCTCGAATGACCTCGAGGCTTGTTCAAAATTTCTCCTTTGTGTAAATTCTTCTTGATCATTAGAATCATATTCTGCATGACTTCTGTGGTCATCTGAAGCTCGGGATCCTGAATTGGAAACTGATTTTCTTGATTGATGTGGATCATATTCGAATGAAGTTGAATCGATGGTGTATGAAGATAACTCTGAGGACTTCGTTGCACGATTTAAAATAGATTCCTCCTTGTCAGCCGAATAAGGAGACTTGTCACAGCCTAGATAAATTCGTTCCTGAACGGAATTAATGTTCTGGTCAAGTGCGTATGAATTGCTTGCACAAAAATTCTCCCCATTGTTCAGAGTTGCAATTTTTGTCACAGCTTGCATGTCACTTTCTTCATTCTCACATTGTTTAGATTTTTCAAGATTACACTCAAAAATTTGAGTCTGAAATGTAACAAAATTGTCATTCTCATCATTAATGTAATTTTCAGATTGCACGGATGAGTCATCATTCACGAACACAGGTTCTCCTTTCAGGTAATCATGAATTTCAATTTTTTTACTGTCGATTGCATTTTCGTCACAGATTTCTCTTTGATGCTGCATGATTGAATCGTGATTCGCCGATTCACATTGAACATCCGAGCTGTAATTTACAGAATTGTTTCGTGACATTGAGCCAAGATTGGGCTCAGTAAAATCCTCTTCTACTAGCGAGTCCACATCCAGCGACTCTGTGCCATCATTCTCAACGAAGAGGATGTTGTTCAGGGCAACAAATTGCTCTCGTCCATCTGTAAAATAAGAGTGGAATTTAGTTATCTAGTCAAATTATATTATTATTATATATTATACTATTATATATTATTATTATACATTATATTATTATTACTTATTTAGTCCAATTCATAGCTCGCTGCAGTACCAAAAAGATATTTCTAGCAAATACCGTTAGTCTACATGAATAATAATATGCGTTTAAAAGTTACTTTTTAGAAACAATACTTCAATGAGGCCAGTGTCTTTGATGTTACACATGTACAATGAATTTCTGATTTCATTTTTAAATATTTGAAAATTTGTTTTTTCTTTCTAATTTTTTTATATCAAAATTCTGTTACTTTTTAAATTATTTATATTGTCAATTGATTCAAGAATTGTCTCCGATTTTACACAAGTTTGCAAAATTTCAGATAGATTGGACAGGTGGAAGTGTGTTAAATATCATTTATAAAATTTGTAGCAGTGAAACAAACAAGAAGTGAAGTCAAAGAGACGTTTTGTATTAAGTGATCGTGAAAGCAAAGAAGCTATTTTAATAAATCAAGTACAAGTTATAAACTAATTAGCAAATGTGGGCAAGACGCGTTTCGACTAACCAGGGCACAGCACCACAACTCCTACAGGCAAGGCATCGTCAGGATGTGCAGGCTGAGCATGACGCTCGTGGCCCAAGTAGACAACAGACACGGGCTCCGGCCCCCCAAATCTGCACACAACTGATGTGCCGACGTTCAGTGTACCGCTGGCGAATTGACTGCAATAAAATAGTGAGAATTATACAGTACCAAATAAGCAATAGTTATGATGAGCCAGACGAAGAATGTGGTATTGAAAACATGCATTATATGCAAAATTAATGGAATTAAACATTCACATGAACATTCGTAGCAAGTATTTCAAGACAAAAAGTCCACGTAAAGGAGCTATATATTATAACAAATTTCTTGGGAACATAATAAAATCTAAATGTGTTTTGGTAAGGTTCAGATTTCCTTCTACTTTATGAATCTGCCTCAACCATCAACGTTGTCCACAAAAATTCAAGGCAAGCCTTGTGTCTCATACAAAATAATACATAAGGTTGCCATCAAGTGTGTTAGACGGCCACAAATTTAGAGCAAATTATCAAATATTTTCTGAAAGCACTTTCTAAAAATTCCAGGAGGTTACAACAAGTTTTGGTGCCATCTCTTATATTTGATGGACCGGCTAAAGTGTTAATTCACCGTGAAAATTTGCAGAATATTAATCATTCCTGATAGAATCAGAATGTATAAACTCATGTATCCTCATAACAACACGTGGAGAACCAAAGTCAGGTACAAACAACTCCCTCATTAAATTCGTGATATAACCGCTCAGCTCGGTAGAAAGCAAAACATAATAAATTTTTTCCTAGAATAGTTCCAGTGTAAAAACCCCTAAGAAAAGGTAATTGTGGAACTGAGTTAACATACATGGAGGTCAATGATTATTTAATATTGTGGTGTGGTGTGGTTCTAGTCATTGCTAAATCATCTATCACAATCATTGCTAAATGCATAATGTATGTTGAACAACATCCAGCTAAAATTAAATCACAATTTCAAATTTTTTTACCACAAAAATTACAACAACACATACGATTAAAACAGTATAATTGAACACCATGATAATTTTTGTACTCACTCATCTATAAAGTACATGAAATCTGGGTTTTCAAGTTGTAAGGCTTCACAGGAAACACAAAGGCATCCTGACAGAGGGCAGGGTGACATCAGCTGAAACATGGAGAACTGTTACTAGCAGCTATGACCTTAAAGTCACTCGTGAAAATATATGCAAACTTTAGAAATTAATTCCATAGCATTATTAATAATTCACAAGACAAAATTCTTTTGCAGGCATTGCAGAATTTTCAGCAAGTTTTCACTGGCATAAATAGAATTATCAATTGCAAGTACAGGAGAAGGTTACATCGCATCTATATCAGGAATGAGAAATAAGCAAGTTTCAAGGTTAGGTTTAATGAAGGGAAAATGAGGAGTAAACGATGAGGAATCTGTTCCAAACCTTAGCATAGAAAGTGCTACCATGAAACCAGTTTTTTTAAAGGAATTTACATCATGCAACTTACATCAGAATCATCGTCCGTCATACTAGCAATTTCCTCAAGAGGAACCAATTCATGTCGTTCATCTGTTGGGAATAATAAAAAATTTAATTCTTGATAAATATACCGTATATTACCTGCTTCCTTACCAAGAACATACTAAAATTATAAATAAAAACGTGTCAGTACCAATGGGGATGTGTAACACAAGTTAAAGCATAGTGGTAATTAGAAATTTAGTGATCAAATACATAGAAAAATAAAGAAAACAGTGAGTTCTTAAATTTCTACTGTATTTACTTTACTTTATTTTTCAGGTGAGGCATTGATGTTGATTCCCATTTCACTATTAGTTGGAGAAACATCATGAATGATTCCAGATAACATTTTTTAATCCAATTATTCATTTTCAAATCAATAGGTTGCTCAGAATGACATTAGGCCATTGAAATCATCTTTTGTTTAATATTTAAGCTCTAAGATTAGAAGAAATCAGGATTTACACAGGATTGTGAAATTTAAAGCAAAGAAAATTAATTTTGCAGATAGATTTGAGGGCCAAATAAAATTTGATCCTAGAGCATGATTTTATTTTTAAAAAGTTCAAAACATTGTGAGTAAGCAAAAAATTCATAGTGATTAGAATACAAATTATGAAACAATTGTCATATGATTACATTGTTCAACAAATAGAGGAATTGTAAAGGATCTCTGTATCTCACTGCATAATAGTTGAAATTACCTTCTACAGGAGACAATTCATCCTCTCCAGATGGACTGTGATGAAACTGCACCTCCACTGGCATCACTGATAGCTTTCTACTGGTGCTTCCATGCTCTGAAGCAAAGGCTAGAAGAGCGTCATCAACATCACTTGATTGGTCCACTGCAGATGAGTCAGGCTTGCTGCTAGAGCTAGATGAAGATGCGGCAGAAAACCCTTCTCCATTGCAAGAATCCTGGAAAAAGAACATTAATTCAGAGCAGATCATAATGATGGAAACATTTTAACACCAATTTTACAAAAAATTTCTACAATTTGAGTGTCATGAATAGAATTGAGGTTAAAAACCACTTTGTGAGTTAGCTTAGCTTGAAAAAACAATATTACTAATTTTGTTCAAGTTGTAGGTACTCATGAAAATTGCAGGGAATAGAATTCTGGTTCAAATCTATGAAAGTTGTACTTCTTACTTCAGCAGAATTTAAATTAATGATCAATCTAGATAAGCCTTGAAACTTTCTGACTTACAGAGGAAACTCTTCTTCTGATGCTCTTCAGAAGCACAGTCCGGAATGAATCTCTATCATAACTGCCTAATTCTGAAGCTCTTCTGAAACTTCTTCGAACTAAGGAAGATTTGAATGAATCTGAACTCTTTGAGGAGTGGAGATTTGAACTACAAAAATTTTCAGACGAGGCATTCTGAGGACTTATAAAGTGAGGCTGTGATTCCTTATAAGAAAGCTGTATTCCAGAGTCTGCACCAAATGAATGGTCCAACATGGCCTGTTTCTCCATCTGTAATTTACACATTTTATGTTGTGTGTCGCTCTCTCTACAATTTTTCTGTAAAGATTGACACCCTTGCTTTGATTCCATAAAACGTTTTGGGATGGCACCAGTTTCATGAGGTATTTTTGTGCCTGAAGAAAGATCTTGACAGCAGCAGAGTGGCTCTTCCTGACGCTCCACTTGCTTTTTAGTAACATTCTCCAACTGTTCTTCGAGAATTTGAATCCAAGCCTTCAACCTTCACAAAAAAAAGGAATGATTTAGAAATTACTTCATAAAAGCAGAGACTAGATAAAGAAAAGGCTTTGTATAAAACAGATTTTACTAATATTATGCTGAAAATCATATCAAAACATAACAAGTAGTTTTACAATATTATCACCTGGAATTTATTTGAAATACCACATAGGTATACATTGCATAGGTAATAACTATGAAAAGATATAACATCTTTTGGATGTATTGATGGCACTAACCCAGCAACATTTCATGTTATTGATGGTAAATTTTCAGGCACTCAATTTTTGGCTTGAAGATGCTAAGGCAAGACAAGGATTTCAATGTAAAAAATGGCAAACTTGTTTATCTAATAGAGCAACCTTGACAATACACCTGACATTCATCAACAGTGATATGTGGATGACAAAAAAATCATTAATGGTTAATGGGTTTTAAAATGTCAACTCCAAAACCACAATGATAGAAATAAATGTACTCTAAACTCTGAACAGTCTTCAATTTTTATTTCAGGATATAAAGTGAAATGTCTCAAGTGCCAGTGATGGTAAAAGATTTCCAAGTAAAATTCTCTCACTGATGGAAATAAAGTTTTATTGGTCTCAGTGTTTTTAACAAAATACAGGGAATGGTGGCAAAATGGTGTAGGGAAAACTCACTTTAGTGCCTCGTATAACATACGTACCTACTTTGGCATGTGTACCAACAAATTATCAACACAAAACAACAAGAAAAATATTTTCTTAAATTCAAACTTGAATAAATATTAATAGAATATAGGTACCACTCACAAATGCTTACCTTTTGTTCTCATTGATAAGATAATATATAGCAGAACATAATGCAACAGGACCTTTTTTCACAGCCAGTGCAGTAATATTGAGTGCAGCATCTAATGTAAAATCATCACAGCTGCCATTTAAATTACTCTTAACTTCACACATTTTGAAGGAGACACAGCATTGATTGTATAGAATTGTAATTTATAACACTATAAAACAAGTTGCATTAATTGAATAAAAATAACTGCAAAATTATTCTGTTGTTTGTAGGTATTTTGAGGATGTGAGTGTCCACCATGCACTTCATGGCAGAAGGAGGGCAGTAGCTCACCCAGCAGGCCAACCAATCTACAAGACAAAATATGCATTTAAACTGCTCACATGAATCTAGGTAAATTTCAGAGCTAATATATAATAAAAATAAAAGCTATTAATATATGCTGTGCAATGAACTGATCTAGCATTGGTAAGATTGGTAAAATTGTGGTTTGGTGCCATTTGAAAAAGAGAGTCATTCTAATAAAGGCCAGTGTTGTAACTGCTTCCCTAAGAACTATACAAACTTGAGTGGCATGAAAATCAAGCATTAATTTTTACACAATGACTCATAAGGCCAAATGTTCAAGGCTGGGCTAGCACAAGATTGGAATTTACAGGTTGAAATTTCAGATAGGTATTAAATTAACTGGAACACAGCATATTGGACACAACCAATCAAAGTCTGGAAAGGATGACATCACAATCCCACAGGCCACAACAAACCACACTTCAGAGTGGATGACATCACAATCCCATTAACCAATCAGCAATCACAGTCTGTTCTAATCTAAATCGACTACCATCTTTAGTGTATGAGTATCATATCTAGATATGGGAACAAATGAACCATTTATTTCCTGGGAGGCTGGGAGGCAAGGAAGAAAATTTGTGGAGCAAAGACTTTACCAAAGCAGAGAGTTTTTTAGACTCATCCTCAAGTTCAAATTTGAGTCCTATAAGTAGAGCAGCAAAGTATCATGGATACCATAAAATGGGGTTACTTTGACCGGCGGGGTAACTTTGACCACTTTTTGTTTTTTTAACAAAAACCCCCAAAACTCAAAAACGATTTGACATAGAAAAATTTTGTTGATGGCCATCAAAGGCCTAATACTGAGGCTACATAACACAATAGAAAGATTTATAAAGTTTGCATATCTAATAGGTTAAAAAATTAATAATGTGACCCACGAAAAAGAGCTATTATTTAAAGCCTGTCGGAGTACCCCTCCAATTTTTTTATTTTTTGGTAAAATAACTCCAGGTTTTGATGCATTTTAGTAGAACTCTTCTAGTTACATATGCAAAAGACAAATTTTAGGAAAGTGTCATAGTTTGCAAATGGGGGGTGCTGCCCCCCAATGGGGGAACTTTGACCACCTAATGGCAGCCATGACGGGGTAACATTGACCGGCTTGGAAATTAAGTTAAAATTACCATAGGTACCGGTACCTATATAACATATTTTATGTTTGATACACCTATTAATGTTTTTTTCTTTATGTTTCAGACTCTACAGAGTCCTATATATGGTAATTTCAACTTAATTTCCAAACCGGTCAATGTTACCCTGTCACGGCTGCCATTAGGTGGTCACATTTTGCCCATTGGGGGGCGGCGTCCCCCATTTGCAAACTATGACACTTTCCTAAAATTTGTCTTTTGCATAAGTAACTAGAAGAGTTCTACTACAATGCACCAAAACCTGGAGCTAATTGGAGTTATTTTACCAAAAAATAAAATTAATTTTGCCACCCGGTCAAAGAAACCCCAAGAGCTGGGGTAACAAAGACCATCACTTTTTTTAAAATTACATCAAAACTATGAGAGGCAGGAGCCAGCAATTTATGGTGAGTAAAGCTAAAGTACAGACCTGTATTTTGCATGTTTCAATTTAAGTTTACCTTATCTAGTAAAAAAATGGCATCATTTTGAAGAAAAAAAGTGGTCAAAGTTACCCCATTTTACAGTACCAGCATTATCATACATGTGATACTAATTTAACCCTTTACGGCCAAATTGGACTTTCAAGACGCCTTTAAAATACCACCAGTTTTCTAATAATTTCCTATTTTCTTTCATTTTTTTGAAAAATTCACAAAAAATTCAAAGTTATCTGTCTGTAAATAACTGAAATAAAATTTCCAATTTCCAATTTCTAGTGGAAATTTTATTTCAATTATTTACAGACAGATCACTTTGAAACTTGGTACACATATGTAAAAGATAAATCTAAGACTTTTTTGTTTGTGTGAATTTTTCAAAAAAATGAAAGAAAACATGAAATTCTCAGAAAACTGCCTAAAAGGGGGTATTGTAGAAATCTATCTCCTCCTAGGATTTTCAAGCTACAACATCGAGATGCATATCATTTGATGTGTAAGGTAAGGACCATATCCATCAATTGGTCCTTGCTGTTTTTCAAAATTCTAATTTTTGTGGGTGGGGTGGGCATTTTTCGAAAATAATTTTGATTTCTAAAGATCAGCGTCTTCAGGTCTAAAGATCAGCGTCTTCAGGTCTAAAGATCAGCGTCTTCTGGTTGTCCATTTATGTGCCAGGCCGGTAATTTTTGCCTATCTTATAAGTGAAAGAACTCCCCCAGTCCCCCACCCCTAACCCTTTTGCAAACTGTCGTCAAGGCATAAATGATAAATCAACGTACAGAGATGATTTTGGCACCGTTGGATAGGTCAGAATGTCAGCGTTAAGGTGAGACTAAGAACCAGAGAAGTGAAATTTTTGATTTTTGTCCCAAAAATTTTGGCAGTAAAGGGTTAAATCTTGTGCAAATGGGGAAATTAAAATGAACTGATTCTAAAAAAATCTCTGGTTTGTCACTATGCCCACACTGCTACACAGCTAGGCTATGCCGATACTAACTAAGACTACAGCAATGAAAAAATACACACTTCCAGAAGCTGTACCTTAAAACTAAGAGTTATAGGGGATGCACACACATATTTTATATACAATCACAAATTTCATTTACCGTACTACAGCTTTTGGAAAATATTGGCTCCACTGGTGACTGGAGTCTGGACAGTCTCTGGACTGAGTGTTGAGAGTTGAGACAGAGATTTATCCTTTATGCTGGTACAAGTGGCAATAATAATTGGCATCTATGGTACTTACTCGTTATTGGCCTACTTCTATGACTCAAAATGAACTTGAGGAAAGGCAACACAAAATTAACTTGTGGAAGGGCAAAAAACACAATTCTCTCCTCTGAGTCTGACCTGTCCTATGCCACTTGGCAAGTTGGCACTATGCAGGCTCAAGGTAGCCTACTCATAGTGGCAAACCAGAGCTTTTTTAGAATCAGTTCATTTTTAATTTCCTCATTTACTCAAGATTTAAACCAATTTCTTATGTATGATAATGCTGGTATCCAGGATACTTAATTGGTCTACTTATAGGACTCAAAAATGAACTTGAGGGAGAGTCTAAAAAACTCTCTGCTTTGCCACTATGCTTTACTTGTCTACTTATAGGACTCAAAAATGAACTTGAGGGAGAGTCTAAAAAACTCTCTGCTTTGCCACTATGAGCCTACTTAAAAATACTAATGATATCATGAAAAATATAGCTAGGTACATTTACACTCCTGGCCTTCCTAAAGCCACATATATACCTGTCAAATGGTAATTTCAGTGAATTTGTCAATCTCCCCATGCCATTACCTAGGTAGGTAGGCGTAGGCCTAATGCCTACCAGTACCAGGCACCAGCCTACCTGACCATCAATAATTCAAGGTTCTTTTTTTTAGTTATTCTTATAGGAGCACTGGAGACTAGTCCATATAGCCCCTTGCCTAAACTGGGATAATTCAAGGTTCAACGTTCAAGTACCGTAGGTAGGTACGTCGGTACATCGACACAATTTGTGTACAATCAAAACACAGGCACAGGTTTCACTTGACTTTACTAAAACAATATCATACACCCTTAGACTTCATTTGTAGGAAGAATTGGATAATTATGAGCCGCCAAGTAAAATTTGAAATTGCAGCATCTTTTTTGGGCTGTTCGGCAGTCGGCACCGATCTAGCAATTTCTTGCATTCGCATTTCGCAGTTCAATTTGCAGCTTCAAATCTCCGTTCGTCATATATAGTAGTTATTGAAAGTTTTGACAATGATTGTGATAAAAAAAAACAATAAATATGCACATCCAATAATATCTGAGCTAATCAATATCGCGTACTATTGAGTGGTTGTTATTTCTAATGTGTCTAATCATTCGCTAATTATTATCGCATGCAGACGTGAGCTTCATTTATTAAATTTTTATTCTCATTGTTTAATATCTAAACTGGATGTATGATCCGGTTAACTTTAGTTTTTGAAAACTAAGTAGAATTTGAGTTTTTTTTAGCGAAAATTACATAACATTCTAGGGGACCGAACCTCCTCGTACGTGAAACCGAACATCCGACGGTGAAATTCATCGCAACTGTCAGGACTCCTGCAGGTCGACAACATCGTTTTATCAGGTGCTGTTTAATCTGTGAAAATAAAATATGTATAGGAAGTTAGGAACTGCTGGTATTAGTATAGGTTTTATCGAATATTTTACTTAATTGAAGGTCACTTTGATTGGCGATAGCTACGTTGTATGTTTGTAACTTGTAAGAGTAGATTGTATCATTGTAATGTTGACTTATCAGTGGAAAGTCACTGGAAACCACCCTTTGTTCTCGTTGATAAGATAATATATTATATATAGTAACTTATTTAGTAAGGGAAACGACATTTTTTTCTACAATAAGAATCAAGCCAGAAATTTAAAAGGTCTAAAAAGATACCTAACTTGAAGTGGATGTGGACTAGTATTAAAAAATATATGAGTTAAGGTTTCGGATAGTGGATAGTTTGGGTTGCGGATAGTCAAATACTGAAATAGCTAGCCATAGCCTAGTCAATTTTTTTAATCATTGCCATAACCACTGTATTTATGATACGAACTCAAATTTGGATTGAATATTAATTTAATACATTCAAATGATTCAATCCTAATATGGCAGGATTATACTTTTTTCTTCACTTTTCTAAATCAACAAGCAGCACGTAAATTATAATTATATACCTAGCTAGCCTATATGCTGTAAATGTCAATTGGCAACTTATTTGTCATACCTACCTACTGTCATTGAAGGTTTGATGGTTTCAAATTTAAACCAGTACCAAATTGCTAAGAAGAATAGGTACAAAACATTTTTTTATGTTGATAAGTTGATAACTGTGTTGAATTTTTTCAGGTGAAGATGAAGCCTACACAGCCAGCGTGAGTATTTGCATTAGTAATTCAATTCAGTAATTGTGAATAAACTGATTTAGTTTTATTTTTGTCATTTTTGAAGGCCAGAATGACATTATCTTGCCCTAAAGCAAATTTTTTATTCACTTGGAATTTGGGTGCATCTAGTCTGGAAAAGTCCTATTTTTGTCTGAAATATCGCGGCTCTAATATCATATAATTTCAGTAGGTATGAAATCTCGCGGCTTGAATGTCATAAATTTTTGTTTGATTAAAAAATCACGGTTTGCACTTCGCAAACATGTCATTTCATAAAATTTTCAACTTCCGCAATCCGCATTGCTTTACCGTTTCCGCCAAAAATATCTTGCAGAAAAAACATAAACATCGTAATGTAACCAAATAAACAAAACGTTTGTTGAAGATCGCGCATAGTTGCGGTCATGTCAAAGCGGTCAGACTGTATATTAACACGTGCTGAACTTACAGTAGAGACAAATTTTATTGTTGCCGTTTGACTGTTTAGGGGGAAAATTAGAGATTTGGGCCTTTTGGGGTAACACGTGCATAAACTTTGTAAATAAATTTGCATTCGCACCTCGTAAATGGCTTTTCATGGCCGAGATATGGAATTCACGGCTCGGTGAAATAGAATCACGGCTGGCAAATCCATAAAACCACGGCTCGAAAAATTCAGTCACGGCTCGCCAAGTAGATATATTCCATACTAGGGGTGCATGCCTGCATGGTGACCTCTGCGGCTCTGCCCTCCGGTCATAACCTTTAAATTGGTCATACATGCTGCATATAATTGCTTTTACTAGCATCAAAAAATTAAAAGTTCACAATCATATGTTAACAAAAAGTTCAGTTAAAACATATTCACAGCAATCCTAAGGAAAAAAAGCTTAACAATTTCAATGTGCAACATCCTAAAAAAACAATGTACTAAAACAATTTGGCATGTTCACATTTGTCTTCCCATTTTCCCCTCTCTCAACCCTCCATTCCTCACAACCCCACTCTTATCATCCTCCTCCTCTCCCTAATCCTCCACACGTTTTCCAAATATCTCTTCACTCTCTCAAACATAGCCGCTGTTGCTCCCTCAGACAGACCCGTAATTATTGCCATCCTCTTTTTGCTTGTTCTCTCATACCCCACTTTGTTAATCTCACCTCTCATTCAGAATTACCTTCATCATAGACTGGCGCTCTCTCTCATGCACACCACATTCCATCAACAAGTGCACCACAGTTTCCTTCTCATCCCCATCACACATAAAACATTTATCATCCCTCCTCTCATTCCACCTGTATGTACTCATTCCACCTTACTCACTCCTCTCATTCCACCTTACTTAAATTTGTGGCCTTTGTTCTCTGACTTCCTTCATGATCCACACACATCCCTAAGTACTTATACTCATTTGTCCTAACAATCTCATTCCATCCCAACATCCACACTCTGCTGACTGCTCATATCCTCAATCGATCCATTCACATCAAGTACTTGGCCCTTCCCCACACTGAATTGCTAATTGAAGTCACTCCCATACTCAGTCACACAGTCTCACATACTTTGTAGTTCTTTGCTATTTTCACTAATAATCACAGCATCATCAGCAAATAGAAGCATTTTTGACCTTTCGCCGCCTTCACGCACACCAACATCCATTCTCTACAGTAGGAAAATATACCTTAATTCCTAATTAAATATTACTCTTTAGTCTTTATTGCAAATACCATTCTATCATGTGCACAAACAGTATAGTACAGAAAGATGTCAGGTGCATGCAAGATTAGAATTTTCTTACTTATGAATGAAATCTTGTGGCTTTAAAGTGACTAATTTTCTTTGCATTGGGAATCTTGCTGCCCAATTGAGCACTTTTATTAACAATTAGATAGGAGGTAGTTAAAGCTCTAGTCAGGGCTCCAAAGTCCAAATAGTCAGAGCCTCTGGTCCAAAATGGACAATTTTGGCTTTTCCGGTATTTAGTCTCATCTTGAAGCTGACATTCTGACTTATCCAACAGTACCAAAACCATCTCTGTACATTGATTTATGTGTTCACGACAGATCGCGAAAGGGCAAGGGTTGGTGGAGTTCTTTAACATTTAACATAGGGAGTAAATACCTCAGTGCACCTTAAATAGCTAGTCTTGACACTCTCTGCTCCAGTAACCCTTCAGCAGTCATGAGGGACGGTACTTGTTCTGTTGTTCCCACCATCCTTGACCACCATTTAGCTTCTTCCCACCATTTACCTCCAGTTTCATCTGGTATTGCATCCTTGCAACCTTGAATGCCAATTTCGAGGCGCCCAGGACTTTGTCAGGCTCTCCTGAACAATCACACTTATCGTCACTGGAAAACCTCCTACAGTTTTTTCTCCTCCCACAGTTTTGAAGCTACAGCAATGAGAGATATACCATTCGATTCACAAATACAAGATCTAGAGATCGGTTGTAGCTTTTTTTTTTAATTTCGTTATAGTTTTGAAAGTATTACCAAAAAGGGGGAATCAAAAATTGTTCTTAAATTTACAAAAAATGCCCCCACACCCGCAAAAATTTGAATTTCAAAAAAGCTATAACAAATCGATAGATATGGTTCTTACACATTGAATGATATGCGTCTCAATGTTGTAGCTTGAAAATCCTAGGAGATAGTTTTCTACAGTACCCCTTTTTTGGCCATTTTCTAAGAATTTCACGTTTTCTCAAATTTTTTCAACAAATTTATACTAACAAGAAAGTCTTAGATTTAGGTTTTACATATGTTTACCAAGTTTCAAAGGGATCCGTTGGTAAATAAAAATGTTTTTTCTTGGACCCAGACACTCCCCTTAACATATTCCAAGCCAGGGTGCAAGGGTCAAGGAAATGAATTTAATCAATAAACGTTAAATTTAAATAAAATGAATGAATTAATTTAATAAATGTTACATTAAAATAAAATGAATTGAAAGAGAATGAATCATTTTACCTGTCTGTATGGTGTGCCTAAACATGTTGATGAAAAGATGTGCTGCATGGCAAAATCATTATCATAACCAATAATGTAAAATGTAAGAACATTATATTGAATATCATAACTGCTGTTTTATGATTTTCATGCAATATTGTCTGTTAGGTATAATGGATACTTGTTTATTTATCATGATGACTTGCATACAAGTTTGTTTGCATGTGATAGTGATAGTAATGAATTCATCTTTCTTACAAGCTTAGAAAAATGTGTCTAGTAGTGTCAAATTTAAATTTGATATTGTAATTGGGAGTGGTTTAAATTTTATTGATTCTATTTGTAGTGTTTTATGTGTTTTCAAATTTTTATTTGCAAGTAGCAAGTGAACACAAGATGCTTTTTACTGCTGATTGCAGAGATGCTCTATGTTGTTAATATTGTCCGCATTCCAATAAGTGACTTAACAAGTTTGAATTTGATTGTCAACTTTTAAGTGTCATCTCACATCCTAATATCCAATCTTTCTATTAAAATTCCTAGTATGAAGTAAAGCTAAATTCTTGATTAGCTTGATCATGCTGTATTATGATAGGTACTGTAGATAACACTAATAATACCAGATGTAATGTTTCATGCATTAATTGAGGTCTGATATTGTGGTAACCTTGAATGTCTTTGCAAAGTTTTGGGTTTTGATTACTGTTCAATTAATCTACATTTATTAACCAATACCTGACTTTGAGTCGTAAATATGGGAAGTTCATTGTGAAAGAGTTTTAATGCTTCAACTTCAGTTCAAAAAAGATTGGTCAAAGTGCTATGAAAATTACAAACATAAAAGCTAATGAAAAAGCAATTTTATTATACTAACCATAGACTGCTATTTCAACCCTCATGCTTGAATATGTGGCCTGAATTCATTTAATTCATGTACCATACCAACCCCTTATGATGTAATATTTGCTACTTTTTTTATCCAGTTAAAGAACTCAGCATTTAGTTTTGCTTTTGATAGAAAAGTTTATAGCACTGTGTTCATGCTGTTTAACTAAAATTTTTTTTATAAACGAATGGTCGATCTGATACCTATATTTTAAAAATGCTACGCAGTTGTGTTCCAACATATGCTTTGATAAGTGTAATCAATAGATTAATCCCACATTTTTTCAGAATGGGACAGCACTGGGGTGAGCTGGCCCATGTACGTGGGATTGTCAAGTACTCTCTCTCGCCGTTTGAGCAGCGCCCTTATGCCAACTTCTTCTCCAAACTTTTGCCCAATACCATCAGACGCATCCGTGCACAGTTCTTCTATGTTTTTCCTCGTCAGTATTAGTTTGCCTTACCGTGAAACTATGTGTGTCTGAATGGGGATAGTATGTGATGCACAAGTCAAAACATTAACTTGAAAAGATGACATAGGAGACTCGCAACAGACACTGATTTTTCAGTATAGAAAATACTTGCTTTACTTACTTTATTATCTAAATGCTATATGCCCATGTTTTATCTATCCTCTTATTTCTTTCTCGCAACCATTGGCATTTCAAATAAATACTTGAGAACCTTCTTCATCAGTGCATTAGTAACATTAGTTACCATCTGATTTATGAAAACCAAGTAACAAAAAGGATTGTATTGCCATTAGCAAATGAATTGAAAAGTGTGATGCATTATTTTTTTTTACTACCAGCTCCTGCCTTGCCCATTCAATTTTTGCTCCATATTTCTAAAAAAAATTTCTTCATGGGCTAAAAGTTTTTGTCTCCTTTTGCAATGAATAATGTTCCTCAAATGCTTTGAAACGAATTTGATATATTATTGTGGCATGTACTAAAACAATCGTTTTTTTGCAGCATTTGCTTTGGGATACTACGTCTACTACACCGTGGAGCGCGAACATGACAGGCTCCTGCGTAAGAACCCTGCTGACTATGCTGATGAGGTCTGAGGAACTCGACTGCTCTCGACGTCCAATAGACGTCATTGTTTGCAATGTGAATAGCAGATAATTTTAATAAATGTGAATAAAAAAGCACTATCAATTACCCCGTTTTTCTCATTTTATCGTTTGGGGTAATGCAAAAATTTAAATGTGAAGTTTGATCTTTTTAAATTGTCCACTGTTGAGCAATAAATTGATTTATTGATATATTTGTGTCCGTGATGCAGAGGCCGTCTATTCATTGAATTTCGAGGATTTTATGGATGTTTGAAGATGTCGATGAATATTTTGTTTCAAGTATGATTGAAGAAATTGGTTTTATATTTCTGACTTTTTAAATCAAACGCGATCTGTTTTTGTTGTGAAATATGGTCAGCGCGTGGTGCCAACTTGATTTTTTAATCAAGAAGCCCCTAAGCGGATTCTCTTGCAGAAGCACCCGCCCACCTAGCAGTTTCCTTTTTGACCAATTATATTTTATGACTGTTTGCCCAAAAATGAGGCCTGTCAGATATATTTAGGGTGCCTCAAAAGCACCAAAGTTTTAGTGTTAGCTTGATGAAACTCGTCAAACTGAATAAATAGCCAACTTTGAGAACCGATGAGACAATCATAACCTGTCCATAGAAGCTCTTGTTATTTATTCTTGCTGCACTAACTACCTGTATAGAACATTAATGCTTGCCAAACTTTTATATCGGTAGATACGCTGGTCCTATTTAGCGTGACAGCAGTTGTAGAGTAGGTTGCACTTAATTTTAACTTTTAACATATGATATTCTCAACCTCAGTTTTGTTGCTATCCATGAAAAAAAATTCTGACGACATACGATCACAATTGAACAATATTTAGATTGTTCAATTGTGCTCAATGTTGGTGAAGTTTCCAATATTTTGGCCATTGAAGGCTATTATTGAATTATTTTAGTATTGAATTCGGTCGACATTCCTAGCTAGTACTTAGTGGTTTATGGTTAGAGGGGATTAATATTTAATTAAGTTTATTGATCATTATTACGCAAAATTGCAATTAGTGATCATTAAAAGAAAAATAGACAAACGTTTAATGTTTCATAATTTTTCACTAATATCGCTCTATTCATCCTGTGTCTATAGTGAAGTTTAAGATATGAATAGTGGATGAAATAAGTGTTTTGCAGAACCAACGCGATTGATCACTTCAAGTTTAATGGTTGATTTTGGAGTAAAATTGCCCATGTTTTCAGTTTTTTCCGATTGTTTTGTTTCATGTTAATGTTACTCGATGTTTGCATCCAAAAGATTGATTTGAGTTAGAAGGAACGGAAGGCTTGGCAATCTTTACAACTGCTGTCTTGCTAAGTTTGGACCACCGTATCTACTGATATATAAATTTTGCGAGTATTCAATTACTAGAATTTGAAACAAGAACCCACCCAAGGGGCCTGGGCTATAAACTAAAAAGACTGCGTTGTAACACATCCATGCGACAAAATTTCTTCGCGCTTCGAGTCACCGACATGTGGAACAGCCACCTTGATAGCATCGTTTACGGTTCGAGTATGAACGCCTACAAGAACAGAATAGACGAAACTATGCAGGAGCCTATGTTCAGTCTTGAAATGCCTAGACACCTTGCGGACCAGGCAATAAGACCAGCAGCTAACTCGAATCAATCGTCAGTTATGGAAATATCGGGTTTCAAAGGCCGGAACCTTTGTGGAATCAAGCCACGAAAAGTACAATAATCGGCAACAGGCCATGGGCCTATTTCTTCAGTGCCGATACTTCTATTCTATTAATCTTCTATACATGTAGCTAGACGTGAGTGCTCCATAAATAAGCAAGAATGAATAATAACAGCTTCTCTGGACTGGAAATGATTGACTTATCAGGTCTCAAAGTTAGCTATTTATCCATCTTGACGCGTTTCATCAAGGAAACACTAAAACTTTGGTGCTTTTGAGGCACTCCTAACTATCAACTGATAGGCCGCATTTTTGGCAAACACCCTAGCCTTGATAGAAAGCTTTTCACCATTTGCATGGCACGCGTTGTTACCGGTCTCTCCTTGCGTCGTCTCGACTGCTGATCTGAATTTGGATTTAACTTGGTCTAGGCGAAGTTAAATGGTCTTGGATGAATTTAATCTATGCCTGATGCCAGAAGACAATTGCATAATGATTCAAGTCTCTCTCTCCTAAAAACCAACGATAATCCCATTCATGTAGGTATTATATTACATATAGAGGCCGAACATATCGACCATTATAGGTTTATTTGGATGGCTGAACGTTATTCATCGGCCACAAATAGCAAAAGTTCTCGTTAGTCCAGTTTAGTGAGCTGGCAAATAAAAGCTTCGTTAGAATTTCAAAACAAATAATTCCGGTAATGATGGAAGAGGGAATATTATAGGGGGCGCAGGAAAGTGACAACGGAAATGCTAAGGGTCGTATCTATCTCCGCCCTCGCTAACATTCCCCCGACGGTTGCGGTGGGTCGCTTACGAACAGTAAACTGCGTGGGAATTTGGACGGCAAATTCGCGTTAAAAAATCCTCTCCCTTTAAAAGACACAAAAAGTGTCCTTAAAGTTACCATATATCAAGAATTTGGCTCGAGTTGGAACTTCGACGGCCTTCACGAATTGCATCATTCTGAGTACAGACAGCTTGCAGTGATAAACAATTTCAACACCCAGAAAATTCGACAGCTTTAGGATTTGGTCTAGATAGGAAAGTCAATTACGATCGCACTTTTAGGTGATTTGCTCGCGATGGCAAATTGTTTGGTCTATTTTATCTCCACTCTATTCGAAGTGAAGAAAAGCACTTATTTTCGATCTAAATTTTTGCACCTTGCTTAATTTTAGACTCTGATTATGTCGATTTATTTGCAAACTAAGAGCCTGCGATATCATTCCTCATCCTCATAAGCAAGCTAGGTACAAAATTTCCCTTTCTAATTATCGCTCGATGCGTGCAATGTTGATTTTCAGCCATGACGCTATGCTGAGTCAGCGCGATCTTGCCGAGAACAACGCCAAATAAAGCTGTTTAGATTATGGGTCCTGAGCGGACATCCTTACGTATTTCTTATAATGAAACTCATTCTCATTTCTATTTCTTATACTGAAACTCATTCTCCACAGCAAAAACATTGATATTAGATCCGAAAAAGTCCGTAGACCCTGCAAATAAATATGCAAAGCGCATATAATTCCCATGTCCAGGTGTGACGACTGATCTGAGTGAGGTCATCTGCAGCACCTTCAAGAAGAAATCAATCAACCAACGTGCCAATGTTTGTCGATGTTAGGCTAGGCATTCTCCCTAGATTGTCATCGCAACTGATTTTTTACAGCATAGCAGAACAGTGGCGACACGCTGACCTAAGACCTGTGACTTGACAGCGTAATTGTAGCAAGCGATGACGATGTCCGATGCAAACCTCGGTAACGAGCCCCTCGACCCACGTGACTCCGGAGCGTGAGGGAAGGCGTGGAAAACCGCATGGGCGTTGGTGGGAACCTTGGGGCGATTTTTTCCAAATGGAAAGTTCTAATTCTATAGTTCAAGTCCCCAATCTTTCTTTTGTTAATGAAATCAGACATTTAGTGTTAAAATTCATAATAATTTGCAAATAAATGTATCTATTTATGTCATGAGCATAATTTTTTATCAATGAATTCACATAACTTTTGAGAAATAAAGATCAAGAATCTTTTCAAGGCCCTAAGTTCATTTATTTTCATGTAGTACCAAGGCAAATTATCAATGCAAATATAAATTGGAAGAAGCATGCGAGGTAAGAAATTATCCACCAGTTAATTTAAAAATGTAAACGATGTCCATTTTGGCCGGTTGCTTTGGAACCGACCACGGACGTCCCGGTAAGCGGACGAGTATTTGAGGTCATGGAGCTGATATGTGGGCATCATCATCTAGGCCAGATTGCTGTCCCTTCCTGTTTGGGTGGGTGAGGCAGGAGCACAGTTACATGGTTCCTGTTGTAAGCGGGTCAGCCATGACTGAATCTCCTTGTTGCGTTAGAGGTAAGTTGAGCGCTGCCAACCCTTCAGAATAACAACTGTGACTGTGGGAATAAAACTGCTAGCATTAGAGTTGGTGCAGAGCTGCTACACTCTTGTGAATACAGAGCTGTGAACGTCTACTCCGAATACGATGGCAGAGCTGAGAATGTTCGAGTAACAGAACTGTCGTTAGTAAAGAGACATTGGAGAAGCAGGTGACTTAACCTATTATAATGATGTCGTCATATAGATATAATTTTTTTAATATCTCGTACAATTGTATCGATAAATTCAAACCAAGGACATTCTTCTAATTGCTCGGACTTATAACGGTCGATGAACGATCCCCATATTTATATGCAGGCAAAGATAAGAATTATATTTGAAAATATTTGCTTGAAAACTATTAACCATAGAACACTTTATATAAAAAATTCCGCGTAAACTGAACGTGAACCATGATATCATCTACTGTTAAGGAAATATATCAAATGCGGAAACCTTAAAAGCCCTTCGTGCGAACATCATCATTAAGCTAAATTATTGTCGTCTGTCGTAATTAATCAAATTGGATTAATTTCATCATATCAGTTGGAGAATTGTCAACGATAACAAAGCTTTGCCATTTCTCGGCCCGATGCGGCTAAAATACTTCCCGAATTTTTAAGAAATTTCACTGAAACTTTACACATGTATTCATAACGTCGTCTTAGTGCGGTTCGGTCGCTGAAAATTTGTTGCTATCAACTTCTTTCGTTTATATGATTATACGGCCTGGAATTGCTATGCATAAAAACTAAATATTTTATTATGTAGCGTTCAAGCTAAAAAAAATAAATGACTGAAACTCTACGAGATAGAAGATTATTGTTGTCTTTTACAGAGAAACGATGCGCTATAAAATTAAGAGTTATTTAGCTCTTTGAAGTACTAGTGTCTTGTTCATAAGCTCATCATGTCACATCGACGAATAAAAATAAAAACATCTTGAATCGAGAAAACGGATGCAAGATCTTCACGTTGGTATATAATACATAAGATCAGAGGTGGGCAGTAGCGCGCTACACGTAGCGGGCGCTACTAGCGGCCGCTACATTTT